CGGGCTGCTGTTTCAGCATCGTGCAGAGCAGCTTCTATTTTCTCATCTTTATGCAGGTTTCTTTTCTATCTCATATTTTCCTTCTTTAATTATAGTTTTAATTATGTTATGAACATAGTCTTATTAATTATGATTTATGTTTTAGGTGGTACCTATGCCATGATACGGGCTGCTGTCACAACATCCTGCAGAGCTGCTTGTCTTTTCGTTTCTTCCTCTAGGTCTCATATCTATTTATATATATTTATTTTCTTTATATTTATATTCTATTTATAATCTATATATATCATGTTTAATTCTATATATTTTTTTCTTTTTCTTATTTTCCCCTTAACTTCTTCTCTTCCAGGATAGATCATCAAAGGATAGTTCATCTCTGTTCGAATGCGTCATCGCCTGTCTCGATTCATCATCGATTTTTATACGCGGTTACGGGCAGGATAGGAGAACACTCGCACGTGTGTCGGCAAGCACAGGTGTGGGTGCTCGCGGGCGCGATTAAACTTCGTTTGATTGTTCGTATCGAAAACGCGAATTTAGAGTAGAGTCATCGTTTTTTTAACACTCACGTGAATGAACGCGGGCGCGACTTAAAAGTCCTACCGGGGACTTCGTTTATATTTGCTCGAATATTCGATTAGATTACCTCGCGAACGCGCTTTTTTAGAGTAGAGTCACCGTTTTCCGAGCACTTGCGTGGGTGTCCGGGCGCGATTAAAAGTCCTACCATGGACTTCGTTTTAGTGTTGAAATTCGGGGTGCGCGAACGGTTTACCTTGTAGTGCTGTACATAGTTTGCTGATGTTATGACAATCCTCATATTTGGTAGCGGGGCGGAAATCCCGACAAATATTATAGGAAAGTCTAAACACCGGTTAACATATGTCACTTTGGATTTCAACTTAGAGTCACCGTTATTCTAACACTCACGTGAATGTTCGCGTGCGCGATTAAAAGTCCTACCGGGGACTTCGTTTTGTTTGCTCGAATATTCGATTAGTTTATTTAGACTAGAGTCACCGTTTTCCGAACTCTAGCGTGGGTGTCCGGGCGCGATTAAAAGTCCTATCACGGATCTTCGTTTTAGTGTTGAAATTCGGAGTGCGCTTCGGATTTCAACTTAGAGTCACCGTTATTCTAACACTCACGTGAGAGTTCGCGTGCGCGATTGTAAGTCCTACCGGGGACTTCGTTTTATTTCTTCGACATATCGATTAGATTACTTCGCGAATTTGGATAGAACAGTAGAATCTACGTAATAATAACAAACGTGAGTGTCGCGAACGCGATTAATGCGCTTTGATTGTTCGAAATTCGGATGCACGAATTCAGATGTGCTTAATAATCCGTTATGCCTGAGGCGGAGGGTGTCGAACGGTTAAGCTTTCTGTAAGTGGAGTCCCTGTAGCTAAGGCTAGATACTTCCTGTTAGCTTTGTCCCATGCCCAAGATATCCGAAGCGGAAGGCATGAGGGATCGGTATCGCGGAACGCGGATTTTAGAGTAAAGTAGAGTCACCGTTAGCTCGTGGGTCTCCACATGCAGCAACCTCCACGTGGTGAGACCTGGATCGTTAATACTTGCAAAGTCTAATTATAAATTTTTAAATGCAAGTATTACCGAACGAATAGCTGCATATTGTATTACTTTTCCAATATCTTTTCAAACTAATTCAAACTAATCATTAACATATTTTCATTTTATATAGCTAATAATACTTCAAAAGAAGAAATATAGCAGAAATCTATTGTACAATAATTCCTCAGAGAAACGAAAAGGAAATTTTTCTATCACACTTTTTCGTTCCCTGTTATTTCTATTTATTCTTATTTATTTTCATTAATTATCCTTTATATATCTCGGGTGGGACCCATAGGAGGGGCCTGTGGGCGAGGGCTTCTGTGCGGGTTGCTGTCTCAGCATCATATAAAGCTGTTTTTCTAGTCTTATCTTTTTGGGGCTCTCTATTCTTTCTCCGGCTCTCGTTTCTATCTCATATTTTACTTTTTGAATTATGTTTTCAATTATGTTATTAATATGTTATGTCTGTTTAATTATGTATTCTTAATATTTATTTATGTTGTTTCTTTCTAATTATTTATTTAATTATGTGTTTAATTATGTTTTTAATTATGTTTTTAATATATGGTTATTCATTATGATTTACAGCTTTAGTTAAGATCCATGGGATGGTGTATTCCGCTTCTCTTCTCATTTCTTTTTCTAGTTCTCATATCTATTTATATATATTTATTTTCTATTTGTATTTTATATATGTATATATATATATTATTTTCTGTTTAATATTTTTTTTTTGTTTTTTTATTTTCTCTTTAGCTTTTTCTTTTTCAGGATAGATCATCGAGCTATAGGTTCATCAGTGGACGGATTCGTCGTTGCATATCGGGATTCATCATCGATTTCTATGCGCGAATACGGGAAGGATAGGAAGAACACTGGCGCGCGTGTCGGCGGGCACAGGCGTTAGTGTTCTCGGGCGCGATTAAATTTCGTTTGATTGTTCGAATCGAAAACGCGAATTGTAGAGTAGAGTCATCGTTTTTCTAACACTCGCGTGGGTGTTCGGGCGCGATTAAAGGTCCTACCGTGGACTTCGTTTGATTTCTTCAAAATTTCGATGGGGGTACTTCGCGAATTTCGGCTTAACAGTAGAATCGACGTAATTATAACACACACGTTAGTGTCGCGACGCGATTAGTATTTCTAAGGAGTGCGCTTTGATTGTTCGACATTCGGAAAGCACGAATTCAGATGTGCTTAATTATCCGTTATGTCTGAAGCGGACGGTGCAAATGGTGGAGCTATCTGTAAGAGGTGTGCAGTAGCTAAAGCTACGCATACCCTGTTAGTTAAGAAGCCAGTGCATTGAAGCGGAAAGGTATAGCGGATCGGTATCGCGGTACGCGGATTTTAGAGTAGAGTCACCGTTAGCCCGTGGGTCTCCACATGCAGCAACTTCCACGTAGTGAGACCTGGGTCGATAGTACTAGCGATGTATTGAAATCTAATAATCGATAAATCACGCAACGCAAGTACTATCGAGCGAATGGCTGCATATTTCCATGTATTTTCATAAATTTCTTTCAATTTAATTCAGGATAATAATGCAAGACGTGCACTATTATCAAAAGGAGATATATCCATGAGAAATTGAAGAGTGTGAATTCTCAATTTACTAACACTATTTATTTTAACTCATTTTAATTTATCAAAGTGTGAAGTAATGGTATAATCAACAGAAGGTTATACTCCGATACGATAGACGCATATATTGAGAACAGCATTTCCGCTTGCGTTTGTAGTTCATACTTTGTCGATACGCGTCGCTGAAGTCGTATGTACGCTTCAGCGAAACTGCCTTAATCTTTGGATAGTAATTTTATTCATATATTATTCTCCCTAATATTATTATCTGATAAAAGTTTATTATATATTTTTACGTTGGTGTTAATCGGTAGAGTTTGATACATTTTGATGGTAACTCGTCGAATGTATTGTCGATGGTATCAAAGTACTGTCAACTATATTTTTCTTTTCATTTCCATGAAATACCGTTATCTTTATTTCTCATAAATATCATTTCAAAGCCACCTTTATACGTTGGAATGTTTACATTTTAATGAATATTTATGAGGCTTTCGTAGGATCGCTTAGGTCTTTCATGTGGAGATTGCTGCATACAGAGATCCTGCTATTTATAAAAACATATTATAGATTTAAGAAGACTTTAATTTATTTCGTCAAAACATTAAGATTTAGTCGTGTCGGAGTATTGATTGTTACTCGCAATGAAACGGGACGATTGATGTCTTAACTACGATTAAGAGGTTAAACATTCGAGAGTTTGTTGTTTACTTGATAAGTGTTTATATAATCGCTTGATGTTTTCTAACGACTTTGCGGTTTTATGAAAGGTTTTATTTTTCAAAGATATGGACTGTTTCGACGACGATATATTTGAATTTAGTGACAAAGATGAAGATGCCTCCATTTCTAAAACTACATCTCATAAGGAATTTAATCCCATCGAGGAACATCTTGTAAAACAATTAGATTCAATACAGAATAGAATAGATAAAGCAAAAAATGAACTCGAAGAAATGAAAGAAACGGTTCGGCACATCTCAAATAATTTACTTTACAAAGCTGTCTTTGGCCAAGATAAGAATGTCGATTCAGACAACGATGTAAGCCATTATTTATTACAATTATCAATTGTTTAATGCGTTAGCAACAGGTATTTCTTTATTTATATTTGTTATAGTTATACACTGTCGAAGGAGAACCTGTATTAATAGAAAAACACGAAGAAGACAAACCCTGCGATTTTTTGGTCTGGAAGGAACAATGGCAATATGTTCTTTTTGATAAATGGATATTAGGCGTAGTACTACGAAATGTATCGTTTCAGTAAGTATCTGCTCCCTTTCTCTCTGTCTCTTTCCCTCTCTCTTTCTCTCTTTTAATATAACATGATATTTTTCTTCTGCAATGTAGATGAAACAGCGAAAAGTTTATGGCTACTTATAATAAGACATTAATACTATAGGCGGTTATTTTTCAATTTCATAACATGTTACATATATTATAGCAATGAATTATAACAATTATTTTACAATATTATAGAGAAAAAGTAACAATGGCATTTCCTTCTTTCTACATAAACGTATCTTTATAAAAGTTATATTAGCAATTTCATTGCATAGCCGCTTGTAGATTTATTATCCTTGTTGAGAAGTTTTTCTTTCCTTTTTCTTCTCGTTTTATCATTGATTTCCACGTCTTTCCAAGCTGTCTTGTGCATTAGATGCAAGCATCAAAGATGTCTCTCAGTTGCACGATAATTAAATAACAAAATAATTTCTAGAGGAAGTAATGGATCAATGTTTAATTTTCATTGTAAAAATTCTCTAGAATATTTGAATATTTATTACATTAGGAAAATATTTAGGATAATGTATTATCATTTAAAGTACATCTTTAAAATTATGTTTCTTTTTATTTCTATGTAATAAGTTACTCTCAATCTCATGACTATTATATACAGATAATATAGCAGTTTTCAACTTTATGAAAGCATAATCTAATGTTTCGTTGTTTTTCAAGTAACAATTTACATTTATATAAAAAAAGGAATGCTACATTCTCATAAGTAATACGTTCGACGCGTCATATAGTTTAAGTATTTCGACTTCAATTTTTGCATATCAACGTAATCGGGTTGTCTTTTCCAAGTGGAATATATTCCTCGGGAGAGTAATCGAAGAGTATAAAATCATACCTATAATAATGATTGATATTTACTAGGAAATCGTTAATATCGTATTGCTATTAGGGAAAAAAAGGAAAAAAAAAGAAAAAAAAATACAATACACTCGTCGATTAAAAATTTCTTTGTACCTAAACATCTCATAGAGATCATTGATCTGTGTCTTGGACAATTGAGCGAAATAATTTTTAACGACGTCTTTCGTTTGAACACCTCTCGTTGGATTTTTCCATTCCGGTTTAATGATATGTCCAACGTGTGCCTGCTTTATAAGGAAGTCCTGATCTTCCTAAAGATTAAAATTCATTCTTTTTTTTTTCTCTCTCTCTCTCTCTTTTTTTTTTTTTTTTGTGAATACATTAGAATAAAAGGAGTCGTCGTTATCGCGTAACGTAACTTACTCGAAGTGTTTCGAATTTAGCGATTATATCGAATCGCACTTGGCAGGGCGTGCAAAAGTTGACTATCGGTGTCCAGTGCATATCTAACTCGTTTCCAGCTTTCCACTGACACAAAAGCCATCTTACAAATTCTTCGAAGAATGGATATCTCGGTCCATGTTTTCCATTCGTTTTCGTATTCTGTAAAATAATTAAGAAAATCGTGTCAAACGATAGAGAAAAAGTCCCAGGATTGTTTGTTAAAGTGATTAAAGTAAAAAATACCTTCAATCTATAATGCCAAACTATATGGGCACCGAGATTACTGTGAAACGTATGGGGTAAACTATGCTCCAGTTTGTCTCTATAGGCACTCAATAATCTCTCGAAGGGATGTCTCACGATTAGAAAGCTGATACTATCGTTTAAAAATTTTGCTAATTCTTCGGCCGTGTGTCTAGGATATTTTTGCCGTGCCAGAGAAACAGGCACAGCTTTAGAGGCTTTCAAAAATTGAGGACTGTATCTGAAAGATTTGTTTTAAACGATCGGCAAAAACCATTAAAATACCATACAAATAATTTAAATGTAAATTTAAATCATGATATTGCGTATAATAGCGCGGAGAGAGAAAAACAAAGCTATTAATTCATTCATATTGATAATATTTAAGTCTTTCGAATATAAGTATTATATTCGAAAGAAAAAAGAAGTATTAAAAAAAGAAAAGAAAAAGAAATGGAAGAGATAAATCAGATAAATAAAGATTTAGGATTAGATTTCTTACCCTGCAAGTAGATTAAAATTATACATCCACGAAGTGGATGCTGCTTTGAATACGTTGCACCATATCAGATGATATTCTCTATTTACAAGGAACTCCCAGGCATTGGGCTTGTGAAGGGAATCGTTTCCAGGACGATCGAGTCCTTCCTCGGCACACTTTTCCGCCAAAAATTTTCTTCGTTCGTTCAAACGAGCCTCCGTTTCCGCAGCCGTCGCTTGTTCGATCATTTTCTCCTCTGGCGTTAGGTTGGCATCGTCCTTAAAATATATTCCACAAATGTGAACAAATGGAAAAATGAATGAATGAATGAATGAATGAATGAATGTACGAATGAACGAACGAACCAGTTTATCCCAGGGTCAAGATCCCCTGTGAGCACGTGCGTACGTGTATTGCTACGTATATGCATACGTATGTATTTATGTACACATACATACGTTAATATACCCGTCTGTATATATATATATATATATATATGTATGTATGTATGTATGTATGTATGTATGCATGGAAGTATGTATGTATGTATGTATACATCTACCACAGCGACCTTCTATTGCACACGCAAGGTTAAGTCAATTTCCACAATTAAACTAAACACTTTTATCTATGGGCCATTCGCGCGTCCTACGTTACGTTGCATCGGGAACGATGGAGTCGTGTTGCAAAACACGTGACATTTGACCTACATATGCATTTGAAACAGATGCACCATATAAATTATAATAATATGTATAAATCGACCTCGTAAAACGATCTTATCGTTTCATATGTAGATAAAGATTGTAGATCTTTAAATTGAATCACATCGAGGACGATAAAAGAGGATTAGAAAAGAGAAGGGAGGAAAAGAACGAAATAAGAAATAAACAAAAAGTAAGTAAAATCGATCGTATCTCCGAGACAATATCAATTTGTCTTGGTAAAAAGATGATGCCATAAGGTAAAAAGGTGAGATAAAGTTGACCGAGAAGACCGAACGTATAATAGAAGCGCTGCTTTCCGTTTATTGATTTCGTTCTAGAGACTATACCGCTATTGCAAATGTGGGCCACACCGCCGCACGACCGAAGGGCTGTGGGCGGAGGTGGTGCATCAGTGAGAAGTCGATCTTGGTGTTGGTGTAGGCGCGCATCGGAGTTATACCACACGTATTTACATGCATACATACATACGTACATACGTACATACATACATACATACATACATACATACATACATACATACATACATACGTACGTACGCATTGTGCAATCGTTCTTCTTCTCCTTTTTTTTTTTTCTTCTTTTTCCTACTACCCAGTTATGCTTATTAATGTTCGCATTAGGCGATACGGTGGAACAACGTATCTTTTGACTTTGCGTATATATTCATACATTCTTATCGTATTAAAGCACATGTCCATGGAGATATCTCCTTTGATAATTCTTTTTATACGATTATTTGTATATCTGAATTGTTTACATATACTGCCAAGCAACGTCGCGTGGGTTTCATATTATGGGGATTTATCGATCGTTCTAAAAAAGAAAAAAGAAGAAAAGCGGGGGAGATTAGAATCGGACAAGGAACGAACAAGAGCTTAGATATTCTTCTTTTTTTTTCTTCTTCTTTTCTTTCCTTTCTCCCTTTTTTCTTCTTTTAAAACAAACAGATTTCAAGGTTGATTTCGTTGAATTTTTCTACCAATTGTCTCTTCTCTCTCTCTCTCTCTCTTTTTCTTTTCCCTTTTATCGAGAGTTCGCTTAGCGTGACCGCGTCTCAAAGCCAAATCCCACATACATACATACATACATACATACATACATACATACATACATATATATATATATCTTATCGTTCAACTTTGCTGCTCTTTTGCATAGTTCAAAGAGGCCGTATCGGCCGATCTGCGTGTGTCCATGCGCCGCATTGCGTCTGGAACTTCGCCAATCCGTGCTTGTCGTGTTTTAAAAGCGACCCTACAGATTTCGATCTCTTTAAGAGATTCTAAGGTGAACAAAGTTGTGATGTTTTAAGAACTTTATCGAAAATGTTATATAAGAACACACGCGTTATAACGTAATTCGTATAGAACCATGTCCAATGACAAATTCGATGACCTTAAGATAATCTAAATCCTTGGATAAACGAGTATAACGGTTACGGTTACGCGGCTTCTTAAACTACCTTAACTATTCCTTTTTAATTAGATGAAATCGAAGAACGAAAAGGATAAAGTAAAAATTTAGAAATAAATATTTCCTCGTTTTTTTTTTTTCTCACTCACGTCCAAAAGCGATCCCTGTTGCACGTTGTTGGTACCATCTTGATTGGAGAGGGCTAAGATGATCAAGCCCACGATCGCGGCAGCTAAAATTGCTCGACGAATACCCGCGAATACGTGACGTCGTGGTGTCATCTCCCTGAGAACGTTCTTCCTTCTGTACTCATATCGGACTGAAACAAACGAATGAATTCCATTTTTTCTTTTCCTTCTGTTTTATATTTTTTTAACATCGACGAAATGTCTCCGATAGTTCGAAGTAAACAATCGTTTTGTTTGTCACATAAATGTAGAATATACAAAATCGTTGATATTGTTACACGCGTAATCTTTTTTTCGCGTTTAACACATTGACGCATACTTTCTTCCATTCTTTTCTTTTTTCCTTTTTCCTCGACGTACTTTTTTTTTGTTTTTCTTTTTTTGATTTTTTTTTTTTTTAACGTTCCACTATTCATACAAGGAAGTTAAATGAAATGAATGCCTTTTGACAGTACTCATAACAGTAAATTAATACATGAACGGTATAATGTTTAAGTTACATTGCTGACAAATACCGTTGTATTTAGCCGTAATTTGCGCCAACGTGTTAATACCGTCAACAATTGCGCCAAGAGAAAACCGATTCTTCTCTGTCGATCATTTTCACTGTGTCGAATATTCCTTATTGGTAAGCAGTATTTTGCAATATTTTTATTATTCGTGAATAAATCAAAATTGAAGCGCGTCAGGATTGAATTATGCAAGTATCCCCGCACGATGACACACGAAACGTTTGCGTAGTAGTCAGCGAATTTCCGATGAGATTTTTCAAGAAGTTTGTTTTCCACACGTAAGAGATATATCATGAACATCCTTGTCTCTGAAGTAAAAAAAAGGTGAGAGGCGTTCCTTCTCTGTGATTAACGCTTCTCACGCGTATTTCAATGATCACTTCCGGCCGATATCGTTCTCGCGTAACGCCAATTTTGCGAAATACCAAGTTACATGCATACGTGGATTTACGTTACGCCCTTTTCTGCTTATTCCTTGAGAAACATTCGACTTTTACGTTCGTTCATTAATCACGCGCTTTTGTTATCTATCTATCTATCTATCTATTTATTTATTGTTATTACTTATTTGTTTGTTTGTTTGTTCGTTTGTTTATTCTTTTCTGCCCCTTGTTGTTTCGCATAAAGAACAAAAATACGAATTCTCTACCTTTTTCGGGCATACAAGCCGAAAATCCCGCGACGTCGGGCTTCGTTAGAGCATTTATATCGCACTTCTCTGTAAACGAGCCGTTGAGCGATCCCTTTTATTGTCGTGTTATTGCTAGCTGTAATTGTTGTCGTCGTCGTTTCGAGAAAAGTCACACCTTCCCTCTTTCCGTTTTTTTTTTTTTGGATCCCTTCCGACCGTCCTTCTAGATGACGCACGTGATTCTCGCGCACGTCTACGCGGAAAGAAATGCGCGAACGGATCGGATCACCGAACGATCACGGCGGCATCACGTAGATCACTGAGCGTTAAAACGGTCGTCTGTACTCGTCTAACAATATGAGCGACCGAGCGGGCGAACGAACGACTGAGAGAGATAGATAGATTGGTAGATGGATAGATAGAGGGAGAAAAAACAGAGAGAGAAAAGAGAGAGAGAGAGAGAGAGAGAGAGAGAGAGAGAGAGAGAGAGAGACGCCAGGCGTCCCAACGTCCAGCGTCGTTGCTCCTGATGATGTTGCTGCTGCTGCTTCTGATGCTTCTGCTCTGCTGCTGCTGGTGCTGCTGCTGGTGCTGCTGCTAATTCCAATGGTAGTGGTGGTAGCTGCGGTTTGTCCGTGTACAATACGCGTACAGTTCCGGATTGGCTGGATTTTTCGCGGGTCGATTTGCCGGCATTGGAAACGAGCAGCGCAAGCGCGAGACAAGTCGGATAGGTCGGGAGGTCGAGCAAAGGGAAGGTGTTCCGCAAAAGTGGAGTGAGAGACGAGGAAACACCGGGAGAGACGCCAAGGGGGATAGATGAGCTTGATCCAATGCCCGACTTTCTTCTTTACCGTGAATCGTTCAGACGAGGGAACTGGTAACAGGGACTTTAATAGAAATAGTACAGATCATCTGCTATTTCGGATCATTAATTCATTCGAATGTTTTGTCACAGATATTCTTTGATTTATTTCATATTACATATGTTATTTTACTTTTCATGATATCTTGTTCGTAACAAATATACACGTTTTCTTCTTTTCCTTGCAGAACGTTAAACGAACTCAGATTTTATGCCTTACCGAAAGGTATCAGCGAGATTCACGGCGTCGTTTCAGCTTTCTGGGAAGAGGAGAACGATCTTTGGAAGAGGATTAACTTGATCTCCTCGAAGAGGGACAACGTCGTAGCCACGCTTGTTCTCGATCCCTTGGATTTTAATGAAAACACGATCATCGAGATATACGGCACGATATCCTACGAGAACTTGGATACGGAATTGCAGATAGCCATACCGGTCGTTACTTTCACGTCCCACGATATTCTACGTGGAACCTATAAATTAAACTATTCGGAACACCCGAAATACACCGTGTTAGCGTTGAAAAGTATCTTCGTTGAGACGATCCTCGAGCTTCCATATCAATTTGATTCAGAAAATTTCATTAATCTTTTGCGATGTCTCGATGCAAAGAAAATCTTAAAAAATGTTTATTGCATCGAGAACACCGAATGTTACGCCATTATAGAAACTTTATCGGCAAATAAAATAACGATATTGGCGAAGTAAGTGATATCGATAAATGATATCTTATGAATGTTCATTTAAATGATCTATTAAATTTTCGATTAACGTTTCTCCAAAACGTTTTTTTTTCCCTTGCAGAACAATGTCACGGTTGAAGTTAATCCTGCGTATGATACAAGAGGAATCCTCGATTCCCATTACGAGACTCGAGGAATCCGGTTACGTTGAAGAAGCGGCGGAGGCTTTGATAGAAGAATTGGAAATGTATCTCGGTGATCTCAATCTTGCGAGAATCCAAAGGGCAAGGATAAAGAGCGACCTGCTTATACCGTGATCGACGAGTGTACGACGAAATCACGTATCTTGAGACGTCTGTTAAATCGTACGAATCGTTTAACCATCCCCCGTTCTTTCGATTTTATCGAATAACAAAGTATCTCTAACGTTTGGCATTTCTCTCAAGAGATTTTTTATTATCTTTTTTTTGTTTTTTTTTTGTTTTTTTTTTCCAATAAATTAAGAAAGAAAGAAGGGATAAGGCTAGAGGATCGTGGAAAATGGATTTGTGTGCCTCCATAAAAGAATTCAAAACCTCTAAAGAATATCGATTTTATTTTTTCAAATTTTACGTACGTACGTATGTACGCACGTATGTATATGTGTACATGTGTGTGTATGTGTGTGGTGTGTGCATGCGGAGTGTGTGTGTGTGTGTGTGTGTGTGTGTATGTTGTACGTTTATATCGCATCTGTACGGTGAAACGTAGATAATATATTTTTTTGAAGCCGGATATGATGCTGAACACGACAGTGCACTCAGCCAATCAATGATAGTGGATTGTAATGCTGCTCTTTTATTTCGTTCTTCTTTTATTTCTTTTCTTTTCTTCCTTTGTTTTCTTGTTCTTTCGAGAAGATAATCGAAAGAAGCCGATTAAAAAGGTTTGATATTGTAATATTTTTCTTGATTTTTTCCCCTTTTCTTTACCGTTGCAAGATGACGAATGTGATATATTATATATTGAATATATTCTGCCAAATATATATATATATACATATACACACACGTACATATATATATATATATACACACGGCAAGTCTGTCCGTAAGATCTATGTATTCTAAAAGCCGAGACATACCATGCAGTACGGCTTCAAAACTAGAAATGGACGGGTGAAGTCGAATATTGCCACCGATGGTACGTAGATGCTTCTTTTTAATGATTTTATCTTTTCTTTCCTTTGGGATAATAATTTTTCTTTTTTCTTTTTTTTCCTTTGCCATTCTTTATCTCTGAAAACACATCTAGGGTTAACATAATTTTGCATCTTTTGCCATCTTCGCTCTTTGATATCTTTAATTTGTTCTCCCTCTATTTTCTTTTCATTTTTTCTCTTTTCTTATCTTTCCTTTTCTATTCTTATCTTTTCTTTTCTTATCTTTTTTCTTTTCTTTTTCTTCATCGTGCTCTTTCTCCCCTTTGCTCTTTTTCTTTTCACCTATCTATTTATCTACCTACCTATCTATTTTTATTTCTAGCTCTAACTCTAACTCTATCTATAACCCTATCTCTATTTCTACCTCTATTTTTGTCTCTGTCTCTCTTTCTCTCTTACGAAAAGAGATTCGCTTAGACAGTGCTTTAATAATCGGTTCAATTTATACGCGCGTAATAGCTATCACGAAAAAAAAGATCGCGATACATTTTATACGATACAATCGATCAATTAATTGCTCTTTTACATGTAGTTATCTACATGCATTGGTATATCGAACCGGCGGCTTCGTTAGCTTCTTTGCTTCTATATTTTGCGTGTTCTGCTTCTTTTTTTTCCTCTTTTCTTTTCATTTATTTCTTTTCTGTTTCTTTTTTTTTTTTTTTTTTTACTTCGTTTTATTTTCCCCGACATATTTTTTCTTTATATTTATGTTTTTTCTTTCTTTTTTATAATGCAGTACATACTTGTACATACATATATATATATTTTCTGTTCGATTATATATATATATATATATATATACATATATAGGTAGCTTTCATCTCTTACGTATTTCAATAATATTTCTCGCTAAGGCATTCGTTTATGGCAAGTATATTTGATAAGTGCCGATATTTAAATGTGCGTGAAATACGATTTATACATAGGTTACAAAAGTATATTGACAAACGTTCGCATGTCTTCTTTTATAATTCGCGACTATTTTGCTGAAGTAACCGAAAAAAAACGGGAAAAACATGGTTATCGATTACACGTTGGAAAATGTCACTACATGCTCACGTTGATATTTACTATGCGTAAGTTTTCCTCGTGTATATATATATATATATATATATATATATATATATATAATTTATATATATACCTCTTTGGTTAAAATATATCGAATCACAGTCTACGATAGCTGGAAATAATTTCGAAAGTTTATAAGTCTCTTCCAGCGTAGCACGTACGATCACTAAGTTTTCTTTCAATTATCTAGTATACTATAATATAGTACATATATGTGTATGTACATATATATATATATATATGTATATGTATATACAAACAAGTGTAACGCGCAGCATAATTTGCACTTTGGAGTACTTGAGTAACTTGAGAGTACTCGAGCGTATAGAGGATGACACGATCAACTGGGTATTAGTTGACGACGTGATCTCTGGTTGTCCTTGAAAATGGACAAAGAAAGGCTGTTTTCAGAGTAATAAGTTACTCAGCTCGAAGGGAGAAATACAACGATAGAAAAATAATACTTTTCTTTCTTTCTTCTTTTTTTTGTTTTGTATTTTTTTTTTCGCGAATCCATTTTGGTCGAACATTAATATCGCCTTGTTTAAGGTATGCCTTTGTGCATGCACATTTATTTACGTTTATTCGTGTAAATTTTGACGAATTTGTCGATGAATAGAATAATGCATTTTTCGATTGAACAAGACTACGTATTAATACCAAAAATTCGTTTTCAAAGGTACAATTAATTAAATTATGCTAACCAAGGCAATACAAAAATTCGAATATGTACTAAATAGATTTTATCTAATAACGAGATCCCTACGACGATTTATCGACGAGCGTTAGAAAAGAAATAATGTAAGAAATATCGCGAAGGAAATATTTAACTATAATATATTATTTTAAAGAAGACATTGTCAGAACGACTCCGTATCTTTTTTTTCTTCTTCTTATTCTTCTTTTTAGTTTTCTTCTTCTTTCTCTAATTCTAATAGCTCTTAAAATTTAAAGTAATACGCGAGGACTAATTTTTTTTTTTCTAATTCTCTGAATCACAAATCTCTAATATTGATGCACTTTTTACAAGATTTTTCGTAGCAAACTAATAAAACGACTCGAACGTACGAACGATTGTACTTATGTGTGTCATCCACGAGAATAAAGTTCGAAGAAAAATGATAATTCTATGTTATATTTAGTCAATTTGCCTTTTTCTCTTTTCCCTAATAATATTACAATTTATAATAATAATAATATGTGTGTGTATGTATGTATGTATATATGTATGTCATTTGAACAAGCACCTACCATTAGTAATAGCGTCCTATCATGCTCTTTCTTGGCCTCTCGTTTGCTTTGTCGTTATTATTTTTCTTTTGTTTTCTTTTTGTTGTTTGCTCGTGTTTTCCGTTTTTCTTTTTTCCTTTTTTCTTTTTTTTTTTTTTTTTTTATGTTAGAAAAGAACAGCCCTCAGCTGTCCGCAGAAAATTAATGGTTTGTCTAATAGAAAAGTGTTGATAGATCGCCTTATTTGTTAACCGGTGCTGCATAGCGTACATACATACACATTTACGCTATAACCGTTATATTTTTTACAACGTGCGCGTTTACGGGTTGAATTTTGTAGAAAATTTCTTTGTAGAAAATTGACGCTAGGGTATTATTTTCTGTCTTATTCTTGATTTTTTTATTCTTTCTTTTTTCTTTTCTTTTGTTTCTCTCCTTTTTGTACATTTTTTTTCTTTATTTTTTTGTCCCTTTCTCTTTTTTTTTTTTTTTTTTTTTTTTTTTTTGTTATGCTCTTTCCTCCTTTTATAAAGCGTGCTACACGAGAATCCTTCGCGAAACGCCAGAGAAATAATTTTTACACGGCGCCATACGATTTTACATTATATTCACTATAACTTTTCTTTCCTTTAATTTCAATCCACAACTTCGAAATTAATTATTCTTCGCACGAGCATTCTTCTTTGTTCAACAAGTTTTTCCGCGATCATGATGTCAAGGATTGATTAATCAACGCGATAAACAGCATTAACGATTCTTAATGTTGTTTAAATTTAAAGATATTCTTTTTGCGAAATAAAAATTTTTAGCTTCTTTTTTTCTGCACTCATCGCAATAATTATAATCGTCACGTTTAAAAGGATTACGATGATGATAAGCGTAAAGAGATTCTATTGGACACGATCAATTTTTGCTGAGATTCTTTTTTTTTTCCTTTTTTTTCTTTTTTAGTTTTCTTTCATCGTATTATTACTTTCGTTGTGTACATAATCACATACGATATTTTTTTTGAAAATATAAATCATTCGCGAGAGAAAATTCATCGACGCGTGATTTTCTTCCTTTTGAATTTCTCTCCCTTTGTCTTTTCTTTTTCTTCTTTTTTTCTTTTTCTTGTTTTTTTTTTTTTTCAATTTCTTCGATTATTTTTTAATAAGGAGACACCGTGTAAAAAATATTTGATAAATATTTTGCAGCATGTAATATCTAACAAAGCTTAGCGTTTCTACACGTTTTAAAATTTTTCATAATCGCCGATGAAACCGTTTTTCCATTCGTTTATTCGACCTCGCTTGTGATCCTTCAAACCGAAAACAGAAATTATTCTTTATAATCTAATCTATATATATGTATATGCGTGTGTATGTATATATTTAAGTACCTACATATTATCGACTAAGGCTCGTTTTCTTAAACTTTTTCTTGGACTTCTTCGACATCAAGAAGTGACGTTAATCGTGCCGACCATTGGATCCATTTGCATTCCAAATGAAAATTATTCCATTTCGTTCCTTGTCATATCTTCATCGTGCACCAAAAAAAAAATATCTCTTCTCGCTCGCAACAAAAACATTAAGATTAACCTGAAGCCTGATAAATGTAACGAAGCGCGAAATTAATTCGTCAGTTTTACTATCAGTTTTATGCGATCGGAATAAATATGTGGAAAGTACGAGAGAGAGAGAGAGAGAGAGAGAGAGAGAGAGAGAAAGAGGGAGAGAAAGAAGAAGAAAGAGGGAGAGAGAGAGAGAGAGAGGAATGAGAAGGATGATCGTTTGAAATGTCTATCTTTTTGATTATATATATATATGTATATATATATATATATATATATATATATATATATATATATATATATATATTCGGTCGGTCTTTTTTTTTAATTGCTGTATAGCAGGAAACAGAATTTTATTAAAACTATGCACGAAAATGCGATATATAAAATGCCTTTTTTTTCCTCTTCTTTTCTTTCCTTTTCTTTTATTTTTTAATTTTTTTTTTTTTTGTTTTTTTTGTTTTTGTTTACTCTTTTTCATTTCTAAAGGAACGCAGATGAAGATCTAGTGTGGCAAAAATCCTTTGCAAAAGTAAGTATCAATGAAGTCTCGCGAAATATGTTTCTCATTTCCTAAACAGAAGGTGTGTGATATGTACACGATTTGCATTTGCACATTATTTTTTCTTTTTCTTTTTTTTTTCTTTTTTTTTTTCTTTTCTTTTCTTTTTCCTTTCACGTAGAATAGTAACTATTGATACTATGGAACTTTTACATAAACATCGGACGATGTTTTGCTTCGTGTGTCTATAGTCTCGCAATTCGCAAACGACTGTTTATTTCTTTTATTATTATTATTATTTTTTTTTTTATATACCTATATATATATATGTACTTTTTTTTTTTTTTTTTGGTTTTGTTCTCATCCTCATAAGCACACTGTTTTTCACCACTTCCGATTTCCGGATCGGACATTTTATTACGTTTTTCGTTTTATTTTATATTATTTTATTTTATTTTATTTCCTTTTATTTTTTATTTTTTTCTTCCTTTCTTCTTTTTCTCTCCTTTACGTTCAATTCGACGTTTCACTATTTTGCGAGCTATCGTTTCGTTATACAAAAACTATTTTTGTATATTATGTCTTTAATTAACGTCTCACTCTTGTATCTTAGCAGTTACGTAAAAGGATCGCATCATTTTGCTTTAATAGCTGTACGATAATTATCATTTTAACGCTATAATATTTTTTGCTCTTCTTTGTATACTCTTGGTGTATGCGTCGTGCTGCGCTAGCAGGGTGCGCCGAAGTTATCGCGGGTAATGCGAAAACGTAAAGCGATTATCGGAATCGATTATGTTTTAGAACAGAAATTAAGTAAGTAAGTAAGTAAGTAAGTAAGTAAGTAAGTAAGTGTGTGCGTGATATTTCATTTGCGAAGAACATTTTTCAATAGTTTGATCCATTTACATCGAAGGATAGTGAACGGTCGCAAGAAAAGATTTGTTTGTTTCTTTGTTTGTTTGCTTGTTTGTCTGTTTTTTTTTCTCTCTTTTTTTTCTTTTTTTCTTTTTATTACAACGGACTAGGGGCGGTATTGGGGGGGGGCTCAAGGGGGCGGGGAGGTCTGGGCAAATTTAGTTTCGGCTTTCGTTGTCGCACGATTTTACACAGAGTCGGATCTCTTCTTCGGTTTCGCTATTTATTACACAGTTCTTTCTTTTTTTTCGTTGTCAGTTGAAAATCAGCATCGTCAAAGGCAGTTCTCTCGACACCATCCTTCGGCCCTTTCAAGTATTAACTCTTTTCTTTCGCGAACGCAAAGACGCCACGAAAACTTGGGCGGACCCTGTGTATGACGCGCGCGCGTATAAGTGTGTATAACGTGTATAGAACTAATATCATTATATCATTTTCTTTGTCGCAGCAGCATCAGTATTTTAACGTTAGTAAAATGGCTAATAGTACCTATCAGTTAGCAGTGATAGTAAGAGTACAACTTTGTATATAATCTTTTCGTTTCTTTTCACTCTCATCTCGAAGTAACAACAATAATATACATACATACATACATACATACATACATACATACATACATACATACATACATGCATGCATACGTACATACATACATACATACATGCATACGTACGTACATACATACATACATACATACATACTTACATGCATACATACATACATCATACATACATACATACATATACATGTGCGTACGCGTAAAGACGTATGCATACGCATGCACATACACGGCATACGTATCTATACGTCTTTAGGTACGTATATATTTATGTATCGGACATACTTACACATGTACAGACGCGCATACACGCACGGTAATGCATACTTGATAGGTCTAGAACATTGGCAGCAGGTTAGTCCTAAACTGCATGCGGTCCGATTTACAAAATTATCGATATCGCAAACCGAGATTTATTCTGCCGGAAGATCTTTTTCTCCGCTCGTTAACGCACTCATTTCTTTTTCTTTTTTTTTTTTCTTTTTCTCATTTTTTCTCTACATCACAATCGTAACTACATGTTCGGAATGAACGCGTGAGGATGTAAAACAGCGACAAAAAACTATCTCTCTTGTACATGAAAAATAGGTACATTTGTTTTCCTCGCACGCGTGTGTGTAGATGTATGTATATATGTTTACAATATGTAATTTTTATATATATATATATATATGTATATATATATGTGTATACATATGTATGTATATACCTACATATACATAAATATATATATATATATATATATATATGTATGTGCACGCTGCGTGTAACTCTATTGAATCCCATAATATACATATACCTACATACACGTAGTATGTATATATATGAATATTAATTAGTGCATAAATTTTGTTCGCGCCATCATCAGCTAGGAAAAAAGATCAACCCGCTTTTTTCTTTCTTTCTATCAACAAACTCGAAGATGTGAAGTTAAAAGAATAACGAAAACGAACGAATTGGCGGCATAAAGTGACTATTTTATATTTGAACGTAGTGTCGGATAGATGTGTGTGTGTGTGTGTGTGTGTGTGTGTGTGCGCGTGTGTACGTGTACGTATATGTGCGCAATAAGAACTACTACGACGACGTACGTACTTAAGAGAGAGAACGACGATCCATCGCAAAAAAAGCAATTTTTTTTTCTTTTTTTTTTTCTTTTTTTCTTTTTTTTTTTTTAATCAAGGCTCCGTTATATATCACTAAAATCGATTTATTGCGAATATTTAGATAACTAATAATTGTCTCTCCTCCGTCTATCATTGAGTATTGAAATTATATATTTTTTAAGGCAGCGCTAAATGCTGCATATTTTTATTAATTTTCTTCCTTTTTTTTTTTTTTCCTTCTGTTAACTTATGCGAGAAGAAACGCGTTAAGATTATCGGAAAATATTTAGATTAGTATAGAATCGTTTTCTTTGTCGCATCTTAAAGAAGAATAAAGAAGAGGAAAGGAAAGAGAAGGAGTAAAAGAGAGAGAGAGTGTGTGTGACAGAAAGAGAAGGAGAGAGGGAGGAAGGGAGGGAGGGAGGGAGAGAAGAGAAGGAGAAAGATACGACATAGAAATAAACGAATCTCTGTGAGAGAGTGGGTGGATGCCAAAGGAAAATTGTTTGTTGTGTTGTATGTGTGTGTGTGTGTGTGTGCTCGTTTCGAAGCAAAATTAGGATGTACATCGTACAATATTGTTATGCTTAACGTTTGATCTCGCTTTTTATTCTTTCTCTTTTTAATACCTAAAGAAATTTTCCCATTCGATATACACTGCAACATGGTAATGTGTGCGTATGTTGTGTGTATTTATGTCCGTTTGCGTGTCTGATTACTATTTTGTATTATTTATAATATATTTTTTGTATAATACATATACGTATATATGGGTGTTCGTATACGTATGCATGTAAGTACGCACGTACGTATATAATCATTCATATATGTATATATGTACAATATTTCTTCTCTCTTAATGTCTCGGTAATTGCCTATTTATGCGGTATGTGATGTAGTAATCATTGCAATAGTAGCTGTAACAATAATAATAATTTATTACATATTATTTATAGTTCTTCTTCTTCTTCTCTTTTTTTTTTTCCTTTTTTTTTCTTTTCTTTTTTTCTTTTTATAGTACATCGCGTTTATTCACCACGTAAAAAGATACTTCTCTCGCGTATCACTTAATATTTCATTCATCAATATTGTAGCCGCGGTGACCCAAAGGACTCTCAACAAGTTAACACGGTCTTTGGGCACTTGATAGCTTTTTTTTTTTTTTTTTTTTTTATTAATTATTTTATTACTTTTCTTCTTCTTCTTCTTCTGCTCCTTCTTCTTCTTCTCCTTCTTCTTCTTCTTCTTCTTCTTGCTTTGTAGAACCAGCTCATCCATAATGTTTTCTTTTTTTTAACTTTTTCTTTTTTTTTTCTCCTTTTCCCTTTTCTCTCTCTCTCTCTCTCTCTCTCTCTCTTTAATTTCTCCTTAAACTCGTATATCTCGCATTTCAATGCGTCCACGGATATAATCACGATACTCCGCGTTAAACGCCTCTCACTACAGGACGGTCTCCCGAATTTTCCAATAATTTTTTTTTTTTAATCATTTTCTTTTTAAACGATTCGAATTCACAACCCGGCGTTATCTAGCGATACCACTAAATTGTCGAAGCGACCTAAGACAGGAAAGCGTGGGATGGGGAAAAGTGACGTAAGGGGATAGGGGACTAGGGATAAAGGGGGAGATCCGAGGAATCATGCTAAGTAAGCAAGCTCCGAACGTAAGGCTTCTTATCGGTCTCGAAATTAGAAAAAAGTCCCGCCGTAATTAGTAAGCTTCTTTGGAATGTTTAAGTTCCAACCTATTCCTTATGTTCTTAGAGTATTGCATGGCATTCGTCTTATCGTTTTACGCGGGGTCCTATCAAAGTACGAAGCTAATGCCGCGTCCATACCGAAGTCACGTCGTTGGAAATACGTTTCAAGATACGCTGTTAATACGCTGTCTCCTTGACAACGTTACTAACGAGAGGGAAAGAAAGAAAGAAAGAAAGAAAGAAAGAAAGAAAGAAAGAAAGAAAGAAAGAAAGAAAGAAAGAAAGATGTACTCTTATTTAAGGAATGTTCGTGTGTGCGTCTGTGTGTACGTGCGCGTGTGTGTGTATATGTATATACGTGTTCGCTCGTTAATATTACTCCTGTTAATTCGTACGCCTAATGACGAATGACAAAGGTCAAAGACTATATGAGATTAGGCGAAATCGTTGAATGAAACAAAGAAAAAGAGAAAAAAAAAAAAAAAGAAAGAAAAAAGAAAAAAGTAGAACCCCTCTGCACACGGTGGTGTGAATTGCTCGTCGTATTAATTATAATTTTTTTTTATATATTTACACACGTTCCCGCGTATTTGGACTGACTAAACTTACTTGTTCTAAATATCGCGCATAGGTATTTAGATACGTCTTGACGATAGAGTTTCGTTAAAGACTCGAGATTAATTGACGTTCACAATATTTTGTCATCGGATCTTTGATTGGTATAAACGCCACTAGGCGCGACATCATCGTGGTTTTTTTTGTCTTTTTTTCTTTTTTTCTTCATTTTTGTTTTATTTTTATTGTTTTTTTTTTTTGCAATATCTTTAGTACCTAAAATAAGAATAGAAGAAAAATAGGAATAAGAACATCGTTAGTGAGGCACTCTCAGACGGAGCATAGAGAAACGCAAGTAAGCGAAGGAAAAACGGCGTCTCGATAAATTCAAAGGAGACATCTTTCGAAGGCAACTAACTTGTTGTTGGTTCAATGTGGACGTTTGGTGTTGTTTAACTCTTCTTCTTTTTTTTTTTCTTTTTCTTTTTCTTTTTTGACCAGAAATGTCGTTATCTTTGCGTGGACGTCTTATTTGAAATTCTTCTTCTTCTTTTTTCTCCTTATTGTTAGAAATATACCGTTCGGCAATTGATCCTGTTTTTCCAGATTGACGTTTCCCGACAATGTCACTTCGATGTGGACGTGCGACTTAAGCCCTTAAGGATAAAACACGTTCGCAAACTTATCGATAGTATTTCTCGTATCACGAGTATTAATTATTCTCTTGTGTTTTATTTTTTTTTTTTTTGTTTTTTTTTCTGTTAGTTTGTTTGTTTGTTTGTTTGTTTGTTTGTTTGTTTATTAATTTTATGTTATCTCTTGCCTTAAGAAATAGTGAATTCTAATATTGTTCGTTTACACTCTTTCTCTCCTAAAGTGCGAAACGGCAAATTACAAAATCACAGAGAATTACGCGTCGTTATACTATTTTTACCAGGATAATACCTACTTTCACAATGGACTATAATATATTTTCTACAAACTTCTAGGCCTGCTGTTTTCGTCTAACGAGATCTTCATCCTTTGTCGGGTCGTCGCGTAGCGCTATAGGGGCGCACGTTTGTAAAGATGCCAATAGATGATATCGATGAAGAAGCTCGCGGCACAGACTCGGCTCCACGTTCTCCAAACGGCATACAACTCGCAAATCAATAGTCCTACTTCTTCTGTGAATTCGTAGACTTGGTGATGGTCAGCTTAGAAAGTAGCCTCGTTCTATTATCTTTTCCAAGCCAATCGAACATTTTGTCTCCGATAATTTCACCCTCGCGAACGACTTTTTCAAATCAGAAAAGCTTACGAGAGAAAATATATCTAAATCAATCATAAATATATATATATATTATCGTTAAGTCCTGTCGCGCTGGACTCTATAATGACAAGTGGCCTAAATTGGAAACTGCAAAAGAATGAATGTACTTTTCGAATTTCTTTGAACGTTGATCATATCGTGCGTCAAAAGTACGTTTATCATTTCGCACAGTAAATATATTTACAGCTCTATTCGTGAATTTTTACAAGTATGATAGGAAAATTTAAACGCACCTTTGATCGTTAACTTTTAATCTCGACGTCGCTATCGTAAACGTGTCGCATTTCATATTCTCTTTTCTTCTTTTGAAATTTCAAAAATTAGTTTTATTCTCTTCTAGTCATATCTACGTTATTGCAATAGGGTCCTTTGATAAGGTAAGAAATAATGAAAGATCACAAAGTAAAATAATAGAATATACTATATGTGTATATATATGTGTATGTGTGTATATATATATATATATATATATATATATATATATATATATATATATACAGAGAGAGAGAGAAATGTGCATAGGCGCGCGTCGCTGCGATTAGGGCAACGACGGAGACAAAGTCACAGAAGAAGTCGACGAGTCTAAAATGACGGAAAGGCGGTCGATGTTGCTGTTGGAGTTTTGGGTCTATCTCCTCTTTGACAGTTTTATGGACAAATTCTGGACGAAAGAATAAAATAGAAGAAGGCGCTATAAACCGATCGCTAAAATGACTATTGGCATGGCGTATCACTACGTGTAGTAGACCGTTTTCACCTAATCGTAAAGAGATATCGTCCAGTCATCGGCACATAAACTGATATTGTCTTTGAATAGCGCAGGAAAAAGACCCAGTGTCTAGCGAGGAGCCATTAATATCTCTCCGTGTGCTAGTATAACGAGTGTCGTCATTGATACGAATCCTTGTGGAAAGTATCGCTCTTGTGGAAGATCCTACGTCCCTCTCTCGTAAGTTCTTGACTCGCAAAATTGTTCTCGGACTTTGGCCTCGGTAGGAGACACGTTGGCATCGTTCGAAGTTCCATGCTATGCACCTGAAGAAAAATTGGGTTGCGATATCGCCGCTAGGATCGTTTCTAAGAGTAACGGTAGCACTTTCCCCTACATAGGTACATACATATATGTATGATACCTCAAGTAATATAATATTTACCGATTCTTCGCTGGCACTGGCATGCGCCGCCTGTTCAGCGAGCGCGTTCACCACCGCGTTTATCGTTTTTGATTCGCTGCCAAGATCCTCCTCCCGGTGCGCGACCAAGTTAGGATTCTTACCGATTTTGTTTAACCTATAAGGAGAAGCATAATTAAGCGTAGGGAATGTCGCACATCGCACAACCATTGATAATTCACATTTGCTTACCAAACGTTTAGCTGAACAGGTCTTTGTTCTGTGACGCTATATAAAATTATGACTTACGTGCAATTAGCACTTATCAAATAGCTTACTTGCACCGCTAAACGTTTCAATATGACATATAAAACTGGATAAATAAAAATCCAACTAGTTTTGTAACAGTTTCCACGGGATATCGACAATTGATTTTATACGATCGATAACGTTATATGCCATTATCGACAATGTATCTCGAAATATATTATCCCAAATAACGTCGAATGTCCCGTGGAACTGTCGCACAACCAAAAGTGCAACTGATTTATAACGTATGTTGCGAGAAATTATGAATACAACATTACCATGTAGTGAATGTGTCGAGAGTGTAGAAGTATTTTGTTTTGATTATATTCAATGTTTCTTTGTTTTTTTTTTTTTTTTTTTTTTCCTTTTTCCTTCTTCCCTTCTTTTCTTCTACATTATTTTTTCTTTTATTTTTTGTTTTTCTTTTTTTTTTTTTTTTTGTTTTGCTTTATTTTAGAGAACAATCGAAGGTATTCTTCGATATCATATATGTATATATATATATGTTCGCGTAAAGTTTGAATAACGTAATTAACGTTAATAATAATGTAATATCGCGAAAAAGTCTGTTCGTTCCGCGAATACTCATTGAACTCTCTCAACTCATTTTAATTGTATACGTCAAAGTTAGTGCGCTTTTTCGTTATTAATCGATCACAAATCCACCAACCCCCCTTTTTTTTTGCACTGTCTCTTTACAATCAATCGAACAAATAGATTTGCGCGAATTGTTTAATGTAAACGATATACAGCGTATTGGAGAAATAGCATTAATTGATAATGTGTATATCGTAAAGTTTTCAGTGTTTTGTGTAAATAAGAAGCAATCGCGTTCGGTACAGCACATACGAAATTTAAATAGTAAAAGTAAACGACTAACGAAAAGAAAAATATATAGAGAAAGCAAAGGTAAAATAAAGAGAGCAAAAGATAAATAGATATAGGGGTAGATAGATAGACAGAGAGTAGTAGTCAAGGTAAAAAAATCTTTGAGGTCGAAAAGAACGACGAGAAAGAAAGAGATAAAAAAAAAAAAAGAAAATAAATAAATAAAAAGGAAAGAGAAAAATCAACCGTGAAAAGCTGTACGCATATATGAGAAAAACGATTATGATTCGAACGGTAAACGATGAAATAGTATTACTGATTGAATTGGACAGTACATAATGTTCGAAAAGAAAGTAGTGAAAGTGGGATTGATGATTGACACCTATTAGCACACCAACTCGATAGAACAAACCTAACCAAAGTTTATACCTCTCGGCGGCAACGCTCTCCATGGTTCTACGCATAAGTGGATACTGATCCAATACGGCGTTGAAATGATCCACCGAGAGGCTGAAGAGATTGCAATAGGTTTCCGCCCTGACCGAGGCCACTCTCCTTGCGTTCGTCAGCAAACAAATTTCGCCAAAGTAAGAACCGTCCGACAAGGAAGTCGCCACTTCGCCATTCGCCATAACTATATCGACAATGCCCTCCTGTATGAAGTACATTTTCGAGCCGATGGTACCTTCCTTTATAATGATGTCACCTAAAAAAAAAAAAGAGAGAAAAAAAATAAAAGAAAAAAAAGAAAACGGAAAAGAAGAGAAAAAAAATTGTCACGATGAAATATTCTCCGTTTGTTCGCGGTTGTGGTTGATACGTGAGAGACGGTCATGGTCGTAGTTCGAATAGTCGATCGATACCTGGTTGGAAGACCTCGTATCTCAATTTGGTGACCACATCCGAGACGAAGTTCGAATCGGCGTTTGCAAAAAATGGCACGGAGGCGACGAGCGATCTGCAGTTGTAGTTTATTACATCCTAGTCGATGAGAATGCATAAGTGTTAATAAATTTTTATTATTCACTTTATAATATATCTCTACGTCTACGTCGCGTAGATATATTTCATAAGGAAATATATAATGACTACGCTCCGCGTTGGATATATTTTATGGGCCAAAAAGAAAGGAAAAAAGAATAAGAAAACAGTTTTCGTACTTCTCTTAGCTTCTCCGACAGTTCGCCAAGTATTAATTCCTCGTCGAAAAATTTCCCTTGGTATCGGTGCTCGAAGTATTCGGTTATTCTCTGTCTCATTTCCCGCGGTAGTTTGCGATAGGCCATATATTCTTCCACTTGTTTCACCTATATGAAAGGAAGAAAATGAGTGCGAAGCGCCCATTTTGATAATCATTAAAACGTATTCGAACGACCTAATTACCTTTTCGCGGTATTGTCTTCTCGATGAATCGAGAGACTGAATGAGATTCGTCGCGTGTCCCAGGAATAGCGCGTAACAAGTAGCACCGCTGATCATACTGAGCATCGTAAGCCACATGTCCGTTAACGATTGCGGAGGGAATCTGCCGTAACCTATGCACAACATATGCGACATCGCTTTGAAGAGGGCCCAGGAATATTGCTCGAGCCAAAACGAGTCCTGCAAAAGTTTTCCTTCAAGTATTCCAGGCAACTCGACTCCGTATTGCCTACTCACGTCATTTTTTATTTGCATTTGATCGGTCTACCTTGGATATAATTATCTTGGATATTTGAATAAATAAATAAATATATGGGAGGATAGAATTCACCCTAGGACGACTCACTTGCAATTCGTTAATGGCGACCCACGAATTACTGGGAAATCCTTGAAGCATGGGTACCAGAAATTGCAAACAGCCACTCCAGTGGCCGATCAGTAGCATCATGCAGATCAGGTTAAAAATCCGCATAAACACCGACGCCATATTCAGGAACTGCCAACAACAACGATAAAGCTTTATTCTCGTGCCGATTCGTGCACGTAGAAAAGTTGTCAGGCTTCTTTTTTCTGTTTTTTTTTCTTTTCTTTTCTTTTCTTTTCTTTTCTTTTCTTTTCTTTTCTTTTCTTGTAGTCAAGACTTTTCTCATCGATACGAAGCTCCTTTCTCTTGCGTAGTGTACAGCAAACAAGCGAGTGTTGCACGTAGAACGTCTCAGGATTGGAATTTATTCGAATACGTGTTTTTGTTGTTGTTGTTGTTGTTGTTGTTGTTGTTTTTTCTTCTCTATTATTTCATTCATATTGATCAATGTGAAAAAAGGTTGGAAATAAATTCTACGTGAAAAATTAGTCATTAAGGTCCGACAAAAGGCTTTGAAAGTTCGACGTTGAAGACGATACTCTAGGATGTATTGGAAACGATTCGTCAGACCTTAATGGCATCGATTCGAGGCAAAAAGTACATCTTTTTCTATGTTTGAAGAATTTTTCGCTGCACGCCCTATCGACATTTTTTGTTTTCTCGTTAAAAATAAAAGCATGCTACATTAAAAGATACGCATCACGTGGCACACAAGAGAATAATTCAACTAACACGTTGATAATAATAATAATAATTTCTTCTACTAATGCTCTCTAACAAAACAATATCAATCATTTGCAATGTTTGCTCAAGATTCTCAGACCGCTTATGCGCCCGATTACGATCAACACGATCTTCCTTGTAAATACATGTGTGTGTGTGTGTGTGTGTGTGTGTGTGTGCGTGTGTGTGTGTCTTTCGACGAGCATCGCTAGCTCGATACAAGAATTGGCTAGTTACTAACGTAATAATAAATATGTAAGCTAGGAAAGCGCAGAGATCGTAGATCATTAAGCTCTCCGTTCTCATTCGAACGAGTAACGGGGAGTATTATGACGACACATTAAAAAGCATAACGTATAATGAATAATGTCAAAGGGGAGAAACAAAATAGAAATAAAAAACGTCCAGTCGCAAAATCATAAATCAGTATCAAAGCTTATTGTAATGCAAAACAAATAATTCATATCAAGCAAATAATACAAATATACGATCTACTTACGTACTTATCGTACGTTTTTTTTATATCGAATCGATGAATCAACGAGACTCTATATGGTTTGTTTATTTATTTCTTTTTTTTTCTTTTCTTTTCTGTTTCAGCGTCACTGTGAATCGATCGATGTGAAAGAAAGGCGCTTCGTTGAAAAGAAAAATCGTAATCCGTTTCGTCTATCGCGAATGAAAAAGCTGCCCGTGCGCGATAGATCTCCGAGAGACAGAGAGAACTCTCTGCGCTTTGTAAATAACATACATAAAAAGCTTTTTTAATCCATCCACGTAGCGTTCACGTTAATTTCTCGGTATGTCGTTAATTAACGTTTCGTGTTACGTGGGTAGGAACCATCGAGGAGGACTTCGCGTCTAGGGCTGACGTAACTACAGAGTATCGTTACGGATAAAGACGAATTGCTTTTTATCAATCGAGTTCTACGTAAGTACGTCTCGGAGTGTCGCTCTTTGTCCGTCGTAATTATTTTTCATATTTATTAGATGTACATCTCGATAATACATATATATATATAATTTTTCTTTTTTTTTTTTTTTTGACAATACGCGATCAGAAAAAATTGAAATTTACCGAAGAGAACGAACACTCGCGACACTCCCCTCTTCCTCCTTATCACGTTTGGCTATTATCTATCGCTATATTAACAAAATCGACTTTAGCTACGTAAATGGCGAAGAATCAAGCTCGTTAATACGGAACCGGCGATATCTCGTAGCGGGATCAAGCGCACTGGTCTGACAATCTATAATGCGACAAAAACGATTACGATTACTTGCTAATGTCTATTGGGCATCGTGGTAATAAGTCCATGGCTGATAGTCAACGTATTGTCGTTACGCCTACAGGTACGGGTAGTAAAAAACAGGGTGATAGAAACTTACACTTCTAAGTCACAAATACTTCCATACATTACCTGCTCTACGGAACACAATAAACAACGTAAGTACATATACCATACGTTGTATTTATTAGTAGTCACGCTCACCATCTATACACGTACACACACACACACATATATATATATATATATGCGTTTTCTTTTTTCTTTTGTTTTCATCTGTTTTATATCTTTACTCTACATTCTTGTAATTCCGTAATATTTATTCTCGATGATGGTGTTAGAAAACTAACAAAGAGAAAAAAAAAGAAAAGAAAGAAATATACTTTTAACATATAGGTACATGTACGTACGCGCGGGCGCACACGAAATTACATATACATATATATATATATATATGCGTGTATGTGTGTATATATATATATATACTCACGTCTCTCTCTCTCTCTCTATACGTATATATATATATATGTATATATTACATATGTATCGTAACTCAACATCAACCTTCTTTTCTACTAGACAATCACAAGTTCTGTAAAGGTGAAAGCGTCTGTTTATTCACGATAATACGTCAAATAAACGATTATCGTTCTGATGGTCAGTATTGTATATAGTAATAACGCTGGCATGTAATATGGCAACAACATACACAAACGAACGAAAGGTACGCAACGAATTAAAAAATACAACGAGAAAACGACCAACAAAGAATTTATTTGCGGGATTGGAGTAGGGATGAGGGGGTGGAGGCTACGTGCCGTCCGTACTGGACAGTTTAAGCAACGAGAAGAAAATATATAAAAAAAAAAAAAAAAAAAAAAAGAGAAAAAAGAAGAAAAAGAAGAAAAAGAAAATAAAGAAGAAGGAAAATCGGATGGAGCGAGATAAAAAGAAAGGAAGAAAATAAAAAGAAATGAAAAAGAAGCAGAAAGAATGATGGCGGATTAGAAAAAAAAAGAAAAAGAGAAAGAATAGAGGAAAGAGTATAAGAGAGAGAAAGAGAGAGATAGTGAGAAAGAGAGAGAAAGAGAAAGAGATAGGAAGAGAGAGAGAGAGAGAGAGAGAGAGAGAGAGAGAGAGATAAAAGGAGCAGAGAAGAGAGAGAGAGAGAGAGAAAAAAAGGTGAAAAGAAAAATTGGACAAACAGTCGATTTAAAATGATAATCAATAAAGCGCGAAAAGCCAGGCTTGAAAGCGAGAAAAGCGTTATTTCTTTTTGTCGTCTGTTTTTTTTTCTCCTTTTTTTTTCTGTTCTTTTTATCATCGTTTTTCAATTTAAAAAAGGCATACAGAGAGAGACAGCAATCCGTATTACAAGAAGGATTATATCAATAAAATGCGATTTTCTTATGCCGATAAAGCAGTCGAGAGGAAAAAAAGGAAAAGGTTCTTCCCGGGAGACCATGAGGGACCGTGAATGGGGAAGGAGGGAGAGAGGGAGGAATCGTTCGCAGAGCAGCGGCAGGGGTAGCAAGCTCTCTACTTTCAAACATTGCGCCCTAATTCAGATTTTCTTTTCTTTCCATGATATCCATTCTTATTATTTTTTTTTTTTTTCAGGTTCTCTCTCCTCTAATAACGATAATATAACGATACGCCTCGCATATGTATGTATGTAGATAGATAGATATCTATGTATATATGTATGTATGTATTTATGTAAAAGGCATTGTATATGCGCGATTTGCAAGAAAGCGACAGAGAAGGGACGCCCAATCACGTGCACTCGTTATTAAGGATCGTGCACACCGTCTAGCGATCAAAAGCGTTTTGAAGAAAGTGCCTTGATTGGTGGACAGGATGGTGGGATTTGGAGCGATAAAAAGATTCGTAAAAGTTTTTTCGACTTATGATCGATCGAGAGAGATTTGATTTGGCCCATAGGGTGGGGTAAGGGAGAAAGAAAGAGAGAGAGAAAGAGAGAGAGAGAGAGAGAGAGAAGGGACGCGCAACTTTCGACGATCGACGTGGAAGGATATCATTGGTCAACCGGACATCTGAATGAAATAAATCAAAAAAGAAAAGTGAAGACTTTTGTGATGACGTAAGGGATGAGGATGGAAGATCGAGGATAATATTTAAGGATAAATTCGAGCTTAGAACGAATCTCGAAAATCACACACATATTTGCTCATCGTCAAGCTCGTCGTTTGGATTCGTTGTGTCGCCGTCATCGTCGCTACGTCTAAACTCAAAAGACAAAATTGCTTATCTACTCGCGCGCATTAACGCGATCGGTCGTACAGAGGTATATAACTTTCTCATCGCTAGGCGGGTGCCGATGGTGAGTGTAATACAAAGCATGGCCTATATTTGCTGCGGGTAATATGTAATGTATAATGCGGCGGAAAGTAAAAGCGAATGTTTGTAAGTATAAACCAACGAGCCAATCAGCGTACAGCTCCGCCATTGCCTCCGTAACCAACGTTCCTAATTTGCAAGGAATCGATAGACCGAAGATTGGCGTAAATTTCGAACGGTCAAAGTACAATATAATAGAGCAGATAAGTTTATGGCTCTCTTCTTGTACTTTTTCTCGATAGCTGCTGCTTTTGGTTGGACAGCAAAGAAATGAGAGTTTATCGAAAGAAAGAAAGAAAGAAAGAAAGAAATAAAGAACGAAAGAAAGAAAGAAAGAAAGAAAGAAAAAGAGAGAGAAAAAAAAACAAAAAGGAAAATTGAAAAAGAGATTTTGCGCCATATTTGCGTGACGCCATCGATTCGAAAGACAAGAGAATTGGTTCGAGGCGGGAACGATTGCAGTAAAGCTAACTCGCTTATCCTGTTCATTCGCCAGTCTCGACGTAACTCGACGTAAATCTATGTATATATGTATGTATCCACGTAGAATACATAAACGTAACGTCGATTGATAAAATAACGAAAGCGAACACATCGTTCTATCGACTCTCATGAAACTGGGTACGGGAATTAATCTGAGGTCGATTCGCGAACGAATCGAATGGACTCGAGCTCGCGCATTCTTTAGGGCGAGTTACCTTAAAAATAAGGTCGCTTTTGCTGAAACCGGACTTCTTTTTACTCATATTGTCAGAACTTAGGCGCCCCCTCCGCTCAGTGCGTTTTTTTTGTAGGTTCTGCAATATCTAGAAACAAAAGAAAGCCGGGACATAGCAAGACATAGTAAGTAAAGGACAGGTAATAGAAGTTTATATAGAAAAAGAAGAAGAGAGTGTATAGAGAAAGAGAGATAGAGAGATAGATAGATAGATAGATAGATAGATAAATTAGAAAGATAAGTATAATTAGAAGAGAGAGAGAGAGAGAGAGAGAGAGAAGGTAACAAGAGAAAAGAAGAGAAGAAAAGAGAAGAGAAGAGAAGAAAGTCAGAAAGTAAGAAGGAAAGAACTCGACGTGGATAAAGAGATCGGGTGTATTAGTATCGAAAGATATTTTTTTTTTGTTTTCTTTTTTTTTTTTTTTTTTGTGTAAGACAAAGTGGAAGGCAAAGATGGAAGAAAACAAGTGGAGCAAATTTATAGACAAAGGAACGTATCCCTTCTGTTTTTTTTTCTTTTTCTTTTTTTTTTTTTGTTATTTTTCCTTTTTTTTCCATTCACATTGAAGAAAAAGAAATTTCCATGTATTTAAGTAGGTATAAGATCGAATGTAAAAGAGCACGTGAGTGGCTCGTGATAGATACTACGGATAGAAATTTGGAAATTAATTATTCTTTTTCTTTTATACTAGGATTATCCCTTCGTCATTAATTTTTCTTTTTTTTTCTTTCTTTGTCTTTTTCCTTTTTTTTTTTGTTTTTTTTTTCTTTTTTTTTTTTTCGTTTTCTTGTTATCCGCAAATATCCGTCGCTAGGCAAAGCGCTGGAAGCACCCGATAATTATTTAAACGTGGCCGAAGCCAAGGAAATTTAATTATCTTGCTCGATTCGTCGTACGATACGATCGATATAGGGAGGGAAAATTGATAAAAGCTCCATACTCTTCTCATACACTGCTGCAGCCTTAAAACGCATAGAAAAATATAAAATTGAAGTTGGAACGGTGATGGTATCGTCGCCGTTAAGTTTTCGCTTCTTCTCGTCTCTCTAGATCTAGATCTCTTTTTTTCTCTTCGCTTACTATCAATTAATCCGATCGGTCGACATCACCGATCCCGCTTATGGCAGATGCGTGTCGGACGAAGGATGGGCGTATGATGGATCTTCGAGCAAAAACAATAGTTTCTGGCGAGTGGATAAGAATGGATGGTACAAGTTGACCGTAGTGAGAAAAAGAGAGAGATAGAGAAAAATTGATGATTTACAGCATTAATAATCAAGAACCAATAAGCCATTCGTTAGTAAAAAAAAGCTTTCTCGATTTAGCAGACGCGCAAGCGTTAAAGCCACGATTCTTTATTAAAGCCTGGATTATGCTTCGATGAGTTAGTAATAAGAATATAATTATAGCAAAAAATACAACAATATTTCCGCTTGACCATCGTTAGGATTCTTTCAACGGAGAGAAAAAGAAAATGGAATAAAAAAGAATAAAGAGAAAAAAAAAAAGAAGAAAAAATAAATGAACAAGAAAAGAAAAAAAAAAAAGAAAAAAAAGAAAAGAAAAAAGAAAGAAATAAAAAGGCTTGACGTATCCTCGCTCGACTTTTCTCTATTCCGTGTCTTCTCTTTTATGGTACATTCGAATGACGAATACTCGATCAATGATATTTCAATGACGTGAAAAAAACAAATAAATAATATAAAATTCAAATTGAAGAGTCCACTCGCCCATGACGACACTGTTGATGAATATACGAGGAGGAAACTATAAAATAATAAAGAAATATGATTTAGAGAAAAGTAAATTACTTGAGAAACTTACTGTCTTAAATCATTGGATTGACGCTTTTGGTCAACTTGTACGTTGCGAATCTCGTTATTAGATTCGTATAGAAAACGTTATCATAGTTTTCTACGTATGTAGATCTTGGCTGCGAGATTGGAAAGTCGTCGCGCGCAACTGTGTGCGCGGATCGTTGCATAAAAATAAAATGGATACACGCACATACACATACATATATGTGTATACATGCGTGGTGGACATATGGACAAACGTGCAATGTGTTTATATACGTGTTTCCTCTTAGTTTTAGCGTTAGAGAGCGTACACAACACACGCACACACGTGCACGCGCACGCGCACGTATACACGAACACGCAAACGAGGTAGACGCACACACAGACACATCGTTTCTGGCGATGTTAATATGTGTGTGCGTGTAACGATCTTAAAGGGACCGAATGCTATTAATCATCGTCTATGTGATCTGTCATTTTTTCGCATCGCCCGTGAGTTATCGCCTTTTAATGTTCGCGCCTTTGAGCGTCCATTTGATGCGCTTGTTTTAACACTCGGTTCGATGAGCAAGCAACAAATTGCACTTGTAACCGTAATACTACTACCTCGTAATACTCATCTTTTCCACGCGCGCGCGTTTACTAGAATAACTCATGCGAATTTCAAAAAAAAAAGTTGCATAAACAGTGACGAGTATATAGGAAATATATATATATACATATATATATATATATATATATGTATATATATATATATATCAAATTCACGATCTATGAAATAAACAATTTACAACTAAATATATGTAATATTTATATAAATCTCTAACCTTCTTCTACACGTAAGTAATTAAGTACCTATTGTACTGTATCGTAAAGTAAAAGGAGAGCTAACGATTATTTTGTAAAATTGGATATGACGTCTAGCATAACACGTACAGGAGAGACAGATATATGGGATTATATGTCTTTTTTATTGTTGGGCTATGAAAGAAGAAAAGACATTGAAAGGACAAACGGACGTACGATCGTTTCATTTTCTCCCGAGGAAAAAGATAATCGGGGAAAGATACGAGAAAAGTAAAGAGAGAATAAGGAAGAATAAAGAAAAAAAAAAAAAGAGGAGAGAGAAAAAAAATTCTATGCACGTCAGCCTAAGAGGAAAAATAGGAAAAATCGAAGAACGCGTATCTTGTTTTCTCCGTGTCCTGGCAAAAGGAAAATTGTGCGAACGGAAACATATGATATATATATATATATATATATATATATATATAATGAGAAATTTTCTTGTTTTCTATCTCAGGCATCTAAAAACACGAAGGAAAACAGCAAGCAACGGGTCAAAACGTAACTCGGAAATCAGCCATATGGCTCGAACGGCATTGGATCGGATCGGAAAGTCGAGTGACGTGATATGGAGAATGTGTGAGAGTAGAGAGAGAGAGAGAGAGAGAGAGAGAGAAAGGGAAGGGAAGACGAAAAGGACAGATGGAAAAGAAGGTAAAGAAACGAAAAAGAGAGATATAGAGAGATAATGAATGGAAATGGGGACACATACAGTGAACACGGGCACATTGCCAAAAAATCTCGGGCAAATAGGATTAATATACACCTAACACACACACCAATCACACACAGCACAGGCAGACCTACGGTCAGACCAATCAACTTTCTTGTCTCTTTAGAGTAACCCGTGTCGAATACCATACGGATTGAGGAGCCAGAATATAAGCCATTGTCTTTCTCCTTTTGTTCAGATTCTTTTCTCTCATCGCTTCCATCGTTATTAGAGCCGAGATAACGCGTCTCGTCGTCTGTCTCTAAGCGGTGTCATCGCGATTACCTTTTCTTTTTCTCTTTCTCTTTCTCTTTCTCTCTCTTTCTCTCTCTCTCTCTCTCTCTCTATCTATCTATCTATCTATCTCTGTCTTTTTTCTTCTCTTTTTCCTTTTTTTTTCTTCCACGCGATTCTCGATTATTATTCCTGATTATCACCGTCCTCTATATTTATGTACATATATCTCTTTCTTCATCACTATATATATATATATATATATATATATATATATATATCGTTCTTCCTATCTTTTTTATCTATCTCTTCCTTTTTGCTTCTTAACACCGCTAACATCATAATATATCAAGAAGAATAGCCATCGCGCGATTCGATCCGTATATGCATTTACTATTAGATACAAAAAACACATGCACACGTATCTAAGTCACGTGGATGCCCCTTGCAGGAAAAAGAAAAAAAAAAAAAAGAAAAGAAAGAAAGAAAGAAACAAAAAAGAAAAAGAAGAAACAACGAAAGACTCAAGATTCCTTGTCGAATTTAATTCGTCTTAAAATGCACATGCTTCACGTTTATCATCGCTTGTCGCGCAAGTAAGTCAATGTGAAATTATTCAGGCTTAAAATAAGGATACACGGTGGTAATCAAGATCGTAAACGATTAAGAATTATTATAAGGCGGATCGTCATGGAATTCGTCATTTTCCTTAAATATCACAGATGTGTCAAGCTAATGGTCGACCTTGATTCGCCGGTATTCGGCAGGGTTTACCCCGTATTAACTATTTCAATTCAAAACTCGAATGTATGCCTAGCAAGAAACGTAAATTTTAAGAAAAATATTCGTAGAAAAATCAGACCAAACGTCATACCAAAACCGTTCTCAGGGATTTTCAACAAAGGAACTAGCTCTAGTCGTGTTAAACATCGACACAGTACGTTGGAATACACGGTTCTCGATCGTCTTTAGGCCAAACACATCCAATTTTTTTTTATTTTCTTTTCGAAACAATACACGCCTTATCCTTTCGACAAATCAGGAATATATTAGGAATTTAATGAGCTTCAAGAGAAAGAGAAAAGAAAAGAAGAACACTTCAAGTTGGATGTGTCGTAGCTAAAGGCGTCTTAATACCGAAATTCGAAAGAACACACGGCAAACTAATTGTTTATGCATATACCCCTATTAGGGAGAAGAAACGAACTGAAAAGCAAAACACGACAATATTAAACAATGGCAATCGTAACGTTAAAAAGTAACAGGTGAAGAGGGCTCTGAATAACGATATGGTAACGATAATAATAATAGGAACGAAACGATAATAATCAACGATAACAAAGGTTGTAATAATAACGATCTAGCAAAATATACATTATATATATGTGTATATATATATATATATATGTATATATATATATACACACACATATGTATATGCATACATATATTTATATGCAAATACGAATATAAATATATGCATATATATATATATATATATATATATATATATTTATACGTAGAAACATTAAGTTTGAAGTTAACGAACGCTTGAATCAAGAAAGGGCATTTGGCCTTGGTTTCGGGATTACTAGGCAGGCACACCTTGCTGGTTCGGTCTGGTTGGGGCGGTGTCGCCCGACGCTCGTAGTGCCTCTCCGGCTGTTGATAAAGGGGGATCTGCAAACCCATTCGGAAACGTGTTCTCGCAATGCGCCTAGGAGTAGGACGACTTGTATAATTGTTCTCGTTATCTGGTTTCGACGTGTATGTGCGTGCGTGTAAGAGACAGAGGAATATTTCGAGCTTCTTTCTTTTCTTTGCTTCTTACTGGATGGCGGGGAAGTTACTTTCATTTTTTTCTATTTTTTTTTTCTTTTTTTCTTTTCTGTTTCTTTTTTTTTTTTTTTACGCGCGATTCGTAGATATGACAAATAATATTTTAATATATACATATGTCGATAAACTCGTTGTACGTATGCGAATCAATGACGATAAGGGTTATGCCGATTGGCGGTCTTTTTCTTGAAAAAAAAAAAAAAAGAAAAAAAAAAAAAGAAAAAAAAATAAAAAAAAATAAATAGATAACTAAATAAATAAATAATTAAATAAAAATAAAAAAAAAAAAATTAAGAACGTTCGATCTATTTCGAAAATGATTACTGATTCTATGTCGTTTGCCTTTGATCCTTATATTTCGCTATTGTAAAACTTTTTGATAATTTTTTTCGACTCACCTAACATGTACTTATACTTTCTAAAAGCAGTACGTTTGTTAACTCTTATCGTGAAGTTTTTTTCTTTTGTCATTTTTCTTTTTTTTTTGTTTTCTTTTTCTTTATTTTTCTTGTCTTTTTTTCTCTTTCCTTTTTTTATTTCTCGTCGATCTATTTCAGCGTACTGTAGCCAATGGGTCGATAAAACGTTTACCTAATTCGAGGTAGAATAACGCGATATCTTATCTCGGCGAATTTTAGTGTCGAACAGAAGAGAAAAGAGAGGTAAAAGCAGAGGGGAGGCAATAGGATAATATAAAACGAAAGCGCAATAACATTTAGAATAAATAACAGACTGCTCCCCGATTCGACGAAAAGCCTGATTGATTCGTTGGTCTGTTCGCTGCGTCACGGTACACTCTACGGGCAGAACACAATAAGGAAAAACGTAAAATTCCATAAATATATCCTCCATTAATACGTATATATTAAATCGATCAACGATTTAGTAGTATGTTACACGATACCGCACGAATGTTTTTCACACGATCGATTATAAGATAAAAATTCTTTTTTTAACTTTATATATTTTCTTCCACGATATGATAAAGAGACGTTGAAATCTTTATCTATTATTGGATAATGTTAAGCTCCATAAAAACGGAACATGCTCTTTTCGTTTTAGCCTGCCGATCGTTTATCTACCAGGTTGGTAAAAACATGTCGCGCTTTTTCTTCTTCTTCTTTTTCTTTTTCTTCTTCTTCTTCTTCTTCTTCTTATTATTATTATTACTCTTTTTTCAATTTCTTTCTCTGTTTTTTCTTTTTTTCTTTTTTTTTTTTTTTTTTTTTTTTTTTATTTATTTATTTTTCTTTTTCAAACCTAAATCATATTATGATCGAATTGGAATTCGTTGGATAAACTCAACGTTCGTTGAGTTTATTATCTAAAGAGCAATGTCAAAAAAAAAAGAAAGATAATTCGTTACATAAAAAAAAAAAAAAAAAAAAAAAAAAAAAAATAATAATAATAAAAATAAGATAATATTAAATTTTGGACGTTTTTGAGAAATCGACATTGTCCCTCACCAACCTGACGATATCGATCTCATTAACGTAATTCCTTATTCGGGCAAGGTGAATCCATTGGACTTTATATATGTATTATATTAGGTGTGATATATATATATATATATCGAAGAAACAATAATAATAATAATAATAATAGTAATAATAATAATAATAATAATAGTAATAATAATAATAACAATAATAATAATAATAATAATAACAAGAAAAGGATACTTATCGAAAGAGCTAAATGTACACGAGACCAACGGGTTCGCCTTGCATTTATCATTCATAATTATGCAAATTACCTGTTACCTTGTATCAGGTAAGGTCGCTCATAAATATCGGAATCTCGATCCAAATATAAGTTCGTTTTTCGAATAACAAATTAATAATGGCGATAAGATCTCGACAAAGAATTTCAAATATTCACGTCTGCGTGATAATTGAGGCGAACAAAGAAAAATAAATTAAAACGATCGAATTAGAGACAGAAATAATAATTTATATTATCGTAAATGAGAATTTGCAAAGAAATAAATTTATCGACAAAATTTCTGTCACATTTTATTTCTCTCTCTCTCTCTCTATCTCTCTCTCTCTCTCTCTCTCTCTCTCTCTCTCTCTCTCTCTCTCTCTCTCTTTTATTCGTATTCTCCTCCCCTCTTCCCCTTCCTTTCTCCTTCTCTACTTCTATAAGCGCGATGACGATTCTTTTCGTAATTGTCATTTCCGAGAAGTGGTAATGACGTAAACGGAGCACGAACTTTACCTTGGATCGAGTCACTTTTTATAATTGATAAATGGCGACATTTTGAGACGTTGACTTTATACAAGGGACATCTTATGTGTATATATATATATATATATATATATATATATATATATATATATATAAAATAAAAAAGTAAGTGATCGAGAAAAAATGCCATATATAATAATAAACGATAAAACACTCACATAGACCTCTTCCCATTGTGAGACATACCGCACCAGTCTTGACAAGCGTAGTAACCTAACGAGTGATAACAGTTTTGCAAGCCTGAGGATCCTGAGAGCACGTCCAGCATGCAGGATCTGGAAGGACTCACTGAAGTCCTGAAACTAAAAACCCCATCGATCGTGATCCTTCTTTTTTCTTCCTTCGAAAATTCCTAATTCCGCACGTGCGAACGTAAAAGAGAAAGAGAGAGGGAGAGTAAATAAAAAATAGCCAATTACTTACTTGATTAAATATGAGGAAAATATAGTCTAGCGGTATGGATGAGATGAGGTCGAGAAAGAACCAAGTCCTGAGGTAGTGTTTTGCGATTAACTTGGGATCCAATATCACTTGTTCGGCGTTATCTTGCTGCATTATACCTGCATGACAAAAATAAAGAAGGAAATCGATTCACGTTATATTTTTCTCTATCTCTCTACGCTTTTCTTCCATACTTCTTTTTTTTTTCTTCTCCCTTAATTACACTCGAGTGAAAAATAAAAGCAATGACGTCGTGATCTCGATTTGAAAATCATAACGGAGCCTTTGATTGCGCGTACCCTACGAACAATTTAATTAGCCTTTGAGAGTAGTATCATCGTCGTTGTCGTCGGCATCGTCGTCGTCGTGATCGTCCGACGATGATAACCTCAACGAGATACGAAAACGCGGACTCTGACAATAATCTGGATCAAGAATTTATAACAATTGCGAATCGACGCCAAGCGCGTACACAGCTTGATGTGCACATACGTAACGTTTTCCATCGGTGTCAGGCTCGTGACCTAATTCCGCCCTTGTACCAACTCGAACGTGGTTCAAATTAATCCCTGTGCAATAACGAAATGTCAAGGAGTTACTGTAGTTGGAATCAGTGACGTTCTCTCGACTTACTAGACAATAACATCGTTGTATATTGCACTTAAGAGATCCATCCTCTTCCCCCCCTCCCCCCCACCCCACCCCGTTCAATTTGGCCCGAGCCGCAGGTGGCGCTTAAGACGATCCTCGTTCCTTTGCTTTTCTGGTCCCTTCGAGATATCGATAACTCTTTGACGTGCCAAGTATCGCGATACGGATCATCCACGTGTAAATCATTGATAAAAGTCAAACTTCTTCGAGGGCAAAGTTCGACACGTCGATATAACCATTAGGAGAAAGGATATTGGTACTTACCGGTCCTAAAGTTTACGACGATGTCTATGAGGAATATAGTGTCGGAAAGGCAGTTGAAGGCTATCCACCTAGTGCTTAGGTCGTCATTGAAAAAACTAATGGCAACTGGCAGAATTATCAAATTAGCAACCAGAAGGAGGAGCATGCAGAGGTCCCAGTAAAATCTGAAATCAGAGATAAGTATCGTTGGTGTCAGCGTTATTTCATTTCCCTTCATTTCGCGGTTATCTCGAGTAGCGAGCCAAGTTTGGATTAAGTCTGAAGAGGAAGGAAGTTAAAAAGAAGGCCGTGATCTTGTTGAGCGAGAGAGCGAGAGAGAGAGAGAGAGAAGAATTTCTCTTTCTCTTCTCTTTCGTGATAAAAGCCAATTTCTGAAAGTTCAGCTTTAATCAGTTCGATTCTGGTCCTACCGACTGCATTGGCCCACTTTTCCAACTAATAACGTTGCTACACCGGCACCAATATGAGCAGGTATATGTATGTACGTGCTCTTGGCGTGCTTGTTGGAAGACTCGATACATGGATGCCCTCACATGTAATATTCGCAAACGAACAATGTTTTTCGGTTATGTCCTATCATCCGAATTCTACGGGGAGGATCTATTGCGGTTTTGATAATGAAGAGGCACAATAGGTGCATACACGCGTACACACGCGCGCGCACGCATACGTACACGTACGTATCTATATATGTATACGTACTAATTAATTCTGGAATTAAATTTAAAATACAGAAGCACGGTAATAGTGTGCACCTTTATGAAACACATCGAGAAGGTAAGACGAGTTTGTGCACGGCTTTTTTGTGCACTTGGAAGTACTCGAAACTTTGAGAGCTCCGTCAACTCGCTGAAGCCGACACACTCGTGAAATGAAGAGTGCGTGAGTTGATGCGTATAACGTTAGGGCACGTGCCCGACACCTCTTGCGTTCCAAATAAAAATATTCGCACGTACATGTGAATATGTATATTAATTAACGCTCTCGCTCTCTTTCATCGTCTCTTTTAATAAGTAACGATGTCAGAGAACTCATCAAAATGAGAGAAGGAAAAGAAGAAGAAGAAGAAAAAAAAAAAGAACTGCGAGAGAAGAGAAGAAAATTATTCTAATCGTATTCGAAGGCGAACGCTCCGCTCGTATTCTTCTCGTGATATAAACTGACCTAAAAGCCCGAAAAGATTACGCCTTAACCGTAGAACGATACCTTACTTGAAATTTATGAGCCTCTCTAACGAGCACGCTTCCCTGGATGCTGTGACTACGACTCTTTCGGGAATTCCTGACAATTTATCGGCTTCGCAGCCTTCACGAATATACTTTTTTACTTTACCTTGTCTCCTTTCTTTCCTTTTTTTTTCTCTTTTTCTTTTTTTTTTTTTTTTTTTTTTTCTTTTAAAACACACGTTTATTTTTACCATCTCATTAAATTTTACGCGCCTCTTCGACAAAAGGATCAACGTGCAATAAAAAACGAAAAAAGAAAAAAAAAAAGAAAAATCCCATACATCGTATTATATTTTTCATATTATCGATACTAGTATATCTAACGGTTGCACGTTTATATAAATCGCAACGGAGTTAGGTACAGAGACTCGATGAATTTTTTAGTATGCACTTTACCGAATGAGAATTCATACGCCCACTTGCGTACCTATATCTGGATACCAGGAGATATATATATATATATATATATATATATATATATATATATAAATATGTATGTAATACCGAAACAAATTATTTTAAGGGACGTCTTCTATTTTCGTACCTTTTTTTTAGTTAAAGAAAAATATTGAAAACGATACGAATTATAAGCGTTTTTATTATTATCATCGTGGATTAAAATTGAAAGCATAAATTATAATTTACGATTGAACGGTTTATAATGAGAGTAAACGAATAGGTAGGTAGATTCTCGTATTCGTTTCGGATAATGCCCTAAGGAGACATCGAACCAAATAGCTAGTCTTGTTAAAGGCTGTCAACCGAACGTAGGCGTGTACTAACAAAGATTCGTAGATGAATTCAAAGATGAATTTGTATGTGCGCCTCCGTATGTACAACGTATGCCATTACATCGATTAGCAAGGATCACCATGAAACAGTGGCCGTACCACACTCGACTGCATACACGTGTACTCGAACAATACGCGGGGTCGTCCATTGTCTGACAGAGGATGCTGACATAACCAGAAGCACGACCATTAATTTTATAGACTCAACACGCGTGCTCTCGCGTAAGCAGTATCGTAGCCCGTAAGAATAAGCCGAAACTTTCGGTTTCCTTTTCCTTTCAACGATTTAAACTATTGACACGTCTATTTGGTTAAATCTTTACGATGAGATTTGATCGTTTATAATAAATAATCGAGTTAAAAATAAATTTAAAGATAAGAGAATATTTTTATGGGATATAGATCGACGCTACACGATGGTACTAGTCTCTTTGCGTGTTCGCTCGGACTTTTGCTAAACTCTATTATCGGATTATGAGGGTAATCCGATTAATTGGAAAAGACATTTAAATGGATAATGATAGGTACCTATCTATTTATCGAGAAGAAGAACGAAAGGCGTTAAGGAAGAAGATCGAATAAGATAGGAAAATCGCGTTCTATGTATATATATATATATATATATATATATATATATATATATATATATATATATAGGTAATAATCGACGTGTGATAGCTCTGTTAGAACCGTGTAGTCGCTGTTGGCCTAGTATCAGCTGTAAGAATGATCTCAGAATAATCATCTGATTAAGCCAGAGGCTACTGTGTCAGTGCGGACACGTTGCCGAGTCGGTACGTGATCGCTCGCGTACTCCTGTGTTATGTGTACACACCTATTGTACACGTCGATGTTTCCCCTTGTGTCGAACGATCCGTCTATGTGTGTATACACGCACGCACGCATGCACGCACACACACATATATGTATATATCATGAACGCGCGATCTCGATCTTCCCTCCTTTTAAAGAATCCAATTTTTTTCCTTTCTTGAACGTCCTTCGATTTTTCTATTAATTTTTATTAGAAAAAAAGATAGGAAAAAGATTGGACCTTCTAAATCTTGTCAAATGGAGTCATCACGAGAACGTTTCTCTTTCTCTCCCTCTCTCTCTTTCTCTAAAACGATAACAGAGATTGCCTTTGGATAGACGAGAACATATATGAGATGCGTTATACACGCGTCTCGTATCAACGTATGCATGTACGCGTGCTTCGTGTATCCGCGCATTCCCTCGGGTCAATTAAGACATCTAGTAGCTATTCTACTATGCCAGACAATGCTGCGGCCATATTAGGTACGATACGATGTTAACCAAATGTATACGTTTTACTTATCCGACTCCAATTGAATTTCGAAGGAAAGATCGATTTTCGAAAAAATGATTGTGAAAAAAAAATATCAATTGCCTCGGATAAATATAATGGAGTTAACGTTACGAGGGATGAAAAATGATGATCGCGGGAAGAAGATTGAGATTACTTTTCCTTATCAATTATTTCCTTTAATGGAAGTGTGCCATTTTCCTCGTGGTTTTGTCCATAACGAAAACTGGAAGGGAATTTAACGAGGCGCAATAACGAGCCATTTCGATCGGCTTCTCGTTAGACGTTACGAGCAAATGTACGTAGAAAAGAGATTCTAGTCTCTCTCTCTCTCTCTCTCTCTCTCTCTCTCTCTCTCGTACATTTCTGTGCTACGTGAAAATAATCGTGCCTCTTTATTGTATCTCGTCGTATTCTTTCCGCTATTTGTCGCTCGCTCGCTCACTAGCTAGCTAGTTAACTAGCCAGCCAACCAGCCAGCCAGCCAGCTAGCTAACAATTTCATCGTAAAATTTCTTATTTTTTGTCGTAGAAAATAAAAGAGATAAACGTTCGACCATCGGGAAAAATTGTTTCGTCGTTCGCTCGACGCTTTTCCCGATCGAGAACTTTGCATCCAATCAAAGCCATCACGTGAACAGCTATTACATAAGAGGACTAAACGGGCTCTGCGCACGGGTTCGCGCAGCAGTAGGAAACCATAGTTTAAATTTGCAAACTACCTAATGATAGGGCAGACCCGAACAAGGCCTCTGCAATTTTCAACTGCCGGCTCTCTCTCTCTCTCTCTCTCTCTCGATCTTTATGATCCAAGATTCGAGTAAAGGAGAAGAACGCGTTGATTGCGATCGATCATAAAATCATTCATCGAAAATATAGACATTCGTAATGAATTTTAATCTCACGATTAAATCGTGAGCAATTTTGACAAATGCGCATTGATAAAAGCACGTGTTACATAAAATGCCGATTGAGGCGTAAGCACGTTTTATTTCCTCTTAACTCGTTTTCCCGAGATCCGGAGGTATTGCCTTACAGGCAGGAGAGATTCCAACAATTTAAAACGGAGTAATCCACATTCAGAGAATATTATACGGAGTATCAAGTGGATCCAATTTTGCGATGCTATTTAATACGGCTTCAAAACTTTCATGCGTCAGACGCCTTTAAATACAACATACCCGTAATAGTATATAAAGGGAGAACGTTAAAGACAGAAAAATTAACTGGAGTGAACTACGATGTCAATGTTGAATATATTACGACGACTATTAATAAAATACTTTCGAAAAAAAGATTTATCATCGTATACGTTGACGAATTATTCTTTGAAAAAAAATAAATCGGAGAGAGAGAGAGAGAGAGAGAGAGAGAGAGAGAGAGAGAGAGAAAGGAAGAAAGAAAGAAAGAAAGAAAGAAGCAAAGAGTTAGATTAAATATTCAGAATGAAAAAGATAAAGGGTGGAAAGAAATATGATCGTACGAGATTACAAAACGATCCTTGTTGAATAATAGAAAGAGTCAGAGGAATATTTTAGCATAAATGCCGCGAGCTGACAAGACACAATACGATACGATAGGATAGTATAGGATACGATAAGATAGGATACGATGCGATGCGATGCGACACATACGTATTTATACGTACGTATGCGCGAGGAAGAAAAAGAGGTGGCTCCCAAGGTGGATCTTTATTCGCGGTAGTTGCCTATATAGCATGTTGACACACGCCGCTTAATGTAGTTCAATCGAGTCAAGCCGCAAACCTGAAGCGATACGATCGATCCCCGAGTAAGTTTCCGAGCTCGTTTCTCTTCTTTGATGGAGCCAACGCGTCTTGCTTGTACGTTCGCGTTCGCACAAATACACTACCAAACCTGGCACATTGTTGTTTGGCGCGCTTTTGCATACTGATTCACGATTAAACAGTTATTTCGATGCATGCAAACGTCGATAAACGAAAATGCTGAATTTTCGCCTTGTTAGGGATTACTCTATTAAATTCAGAACGTTGCCTTAACGATCGTATAACTTTATTCCTTATTGAATTTTTCTCGGATGACTTTGATAAGTTTTCGCGAAACTAGAGAGAAAGAGAGAGAGAGAGAGAGAGAGAGAGAGAAAGAGAGAGAATGACAGAGAGAACTAGCCAAAGTTTAAATTCGACTTTCTCTCTTTTGCGTTCGAGTAAGATATAATACGATTCGTAAACGTTCTCGCAAGCCACTGCCTTTCGCGAATATACAATGATAACTCCTCGAGCCTGAAAGTTTCGAGAAGTACGAAAATATATCTGGTTGAAATTATACGACCAAATAAAATATTGCGTACAAACGTCGCGCCTCCGTCAAGAAGGCGCGGCCGCCACTTTCTAAACTGGTCTTGTTCAAAGCATCCAGGTTATTATATGGAGGTTATAATCCGCGAAAGGCGGATTCTTCTTTGTGGCCCTGACTTCTTCGAACGCAAGGTCGACCTTAGCGAATCAACCTTCGGAACAGGTCGGAAATACCCTTTCGTCCTGATTCCGACGAGAGAGGGAGGAGCTTTTGCTTCAACTTCCCGACCTGAATGATTCGCTTTCGAGTTTCCGCCTCCATCTAATCTCAAGAGAGAGAGAGAGAGAGAGAGAGAGAGAGAGAGAGAGTTTCCTATGCACTTCGTATACACAGATATTATATACCTATGTACATATAATATTTTAACCGTTATATACATACGTAGTAGAACGAAGCAGATTCTTCCTTTCTCCATCTCTCTCTTTACCTATGTAGGTAAGTAAGCGTATTCGTTGGTGGACATGCAAGTATCGAAAGAGCTCTCGTATTGGTGAGCTGGTAATGTCTACGCTCAATCTCACTGGGCCATGGCCGCCCAGAGGCTGCTGTAACGAACGAGGGCCGCATCAAATATTTTATTAGCTCAAGATTAACGGACCTCCTTCCGCCCTTTTCGATCCTCTCTAACGGCGAAGGAACAACGCGTGCGTACGTTGAAACTAACGTTAATCGTTTCCGGTTCGTTCCCTTCTTCTCTTAGCAGGCTATCATTAGATTCGACGAATAGACTTTTATCGTTCTATTTTTATCATCCTCCCTCTTTCCTCCCGTCGACGTTGTTTCCTTTGAAACAAAAAATATTTCCACGCTCTTTGCACGCATATATGCCTGATGCTTTTTATATTCTACCTGGGGATAATTAGAAATTCTAAAGCTTCCTTTCGCGAGCGTCAATTACACAGGGTAGGCACTTGTTTTCTCCAAAGGTTGCTTTCTTTTTTATCGTAAAAAAAACGAAAATGGAACGCTGACGCTATTTTATATTTTTAAAATTTTCACGACAAAGGAAAAAAGACGATAAAACAAAATAGAAGAAAAAGAGGAAGAAGAAAAAAGAAAAGCGAGAGAGAGAGAGAGAGAGAAAGATGTACATGCGCGTACAAGAACGAAAGAAAGACTTCGTACGAAGGGCCTGTACGGATTTCTAAGCTTTCATAACCTTGATTGTCAGCCTGAATCGTAGATTGTTCGGGGTCGAGTAATAAATGATGCATGAAAAAGGAACGATACGGAACGAGTTACGCGAGCGTTAAAACTTGAAACGAAAAGATTGAACAACCGAGAAAAGAGTTGTCCGATGGAAGGAGAATGAAATATTTGCATAGAATGTCTTAGTTCTCTCTATATCTTCATACATCATCTACGTAGATAAGTATGTTCGTCATAGTACGATATATACATATATACTCATAGAATCGATATTCTCTCATTGTCGAGACATTAAGACGACGTCATTGAAGTATGCAGGTAAAAAAAAGACTAACGTAAGAGGAAAAATGAAAGAAACGAGAGAGAGAGAGAGAGAGAGAGAGAGAGAGAGAGAAACGCTCGCGTTTGCTTCACCGAAGGCAATTCGGGAGGAGAGAGGAAAGGAGAAGGAACATCGTGTAGGTCAATTTGTTCCTTCCGGAGACCGGAGTCGATTGTTTCATTGACACGATACATTTCTAGCTGTGGTTCCGAGCCGCGAGAAAAATTTACTGACGACGAGCGACGACGACGACGACGACGACGACGACGACGAATGAATTTTCTCATATTATCGGCTTGCTTTTTTGCCTGTTTGCCTGTTTTTACACGGTACGATTGTAATTAATGAAAGCACATCTTATGGAGGGCGGCGTGCAAAGATCGGAGGGACGCTTACAAGTGAGCGAGAGAGGAAGATGAATTTAACCGGGGGCGCAATTAAGATGACTTAATTAATTAATACGTCTCTATTCCTGTGTTAATTCCAGTGACCCTGACCCACGCCTACCACGTCGACCAAGAAGAGGACGTTTGTCCGTTTCATTTTTTCCTGTTCTCCTCGTCCTCCTCCTCCTCCTCCTTCTCCTTTACGCGCTCCTCTTTCATTTTTTTCCTTTTTCTTTCTTCTCGTTACACCTCCATTCGTCCTTCCGCATTTTTCACACCTTTTTCATTCCCATCTAACCAACTAAAATAAAACTCATCTATCGTAAAATCTCTGTTCTTTTTCTCTCTCTATTTATTCCTATTTTCGAGCTTCTCTCTACTGTTAATGATAAAATAAAGAAAAAAAAATTCGGTTTGAAAGTAAAAGCTGTAAGAAGTGAGAGGGATATAGCGTTAATTAACGCAACACGATACGTTTGATCGTCTACTGGGCGTTATAACGACTCGATCAATTATAGTCAAGTAGGACCGATCGAGAGCCAAACGTGTAGTACGTTACCTTGCTTATGTATGTATACGGAGAACGTATGTATATATCTTTGGATCGCGAAACGAGAAAATCCACACCTGAAATCGCAGATGCCTTTCGATCGAGAGAGATTTTCGTTTCTGTAATATGACATAATTGATGTGAGATAAAATTTATCTGCGAAATAAATTATTCTAATAACCAAAACGGTATTCGATAAGCGAAGGCAAAATCGAAGCAACTATTTTCAGTGCAAGCTTTAAACAACTGACATCTGGTCTTCTTAGAGATCAAGGGTCACTTTTATATGTCGAATCGCTTGGCACTAATATCTTTTGCTTCCTGGAAGGATAAAAATAGTTTGCACACATTCATGGGATTTCCAAATGCTCGCGCGTAATAGATATATGTCCGGCTATTTATTTCTTAGCCGTAATCGATAATCGAGGTATGGATCTTGAAGAGATTCGACGAAAATCATATCAGCATCTTACCGACTCTATCCATTTACTAAACGTACTTTCTATTTTATCCCCTCGTTAAAAAGTTTATTACAACGAGGAAAAACGTGAATAGGCTGAATGCCACGAGGGAAGAAAATTCTCGTTCGCAGATGTGCTTCTAATATCATAAAGAGCTTCGTTAACTCTGCCTACGAAAAGATACGAGTATCGTCAAGGGCCATTCGAATAAAAGTTTCAGTTTCATCTGTTTCGAAGTCATAGAAAAAGTTTCCTCTTCTCCTCTTCCTCCTACCTCCTATCCCTCGATCGAGAGTACCTGATGATGCACCGGGATCGTAGATACTCGCGTACTTAAGGAAAAGTACGGAGCGAGATCGTTCGCGCTGCGTAGGTAATTAGCCAAGATTTCGAATGGAAACGCCAAGTAATTTCAAACAATTAGAAGGACAAACGCGCATTGGGCCAGGGTATACTGTTTCATGCATTATGAAATGGGCATTGGATCGGAACTAATTCCGCTCGTTTGATAATACGAGCAGTGTTTTCGTGAAAGAAGGACGACGAATTCGAGCGGATTCTCGCAAACTGTCCCTTATTACTAATGAGTAATCCGAGCTATCCGTGTACGGAAAAGGGCACGTCTTCCTTAGAAGGACGCCGACTTAGTAGGCGCAAGCTTAGATCCTATTTCAGAATCGTAAATTCCTTCGTTCCTCTACCCGAAACTATTTTTCTTATTCCGATAAATTTAGCTATTTGCCTAGTCTATTTGCCAAGACGAAATTGACATTTTATACGTCTTTTAAATTAAAGAGATACACAGGTAAATATATATCGTATAAATTTTCTGATAGGTATAAGTGACCCACGTGATCCGTCAAAGCGTGTGAGACCGAGAATTTAAAAAGGATCCTAAGGTTACGCGTTTTTATTGTGTAACTTTTACACTTACACATATCTATTTATGTACGACGAGTGTATTAAAAAAATCATCGATGTATTACGCAACGCGAAAACGATTCGGAAAAAAAAGCAGACGATTACAAGGATGACGGGTATATAAGAGATAAGACGCTACGTATTTATGATATTCCACGCTAAACAAGGAGCGTGGAATGTTAATCGATTCAATCGTTTCTCTTGGCTTATCGAAGCTATTTCTCGAAAATGATCAAGAATCGGGATATATATATATATATATATATATATATATGCCTAGTAAATCGATACATATGTAACGTGTACGCGATCGATGATAAATGATTGATCTTACCGAAAACTGGAGCAAGGATGGATGACCCAGTGACCCGCCGCCTTTTGCCTGATCCTTTCCTTCATAAGTGCCTTCTTGCTGCCGAAGAGTTTCATCGCAAGCTTGTTATCCGTCGGCTGAAAGAGGGCTTGAAGTTGATTCTTAAGGAAGCTCTGTTTAACCTCCTGGCCCGGGAGACCCGGGCCCGGTTCCTCTTTCGGCGTCCCATAGAGGGACACATCGTCCACTCCGAAGTGGACTTTACCGCTGCCTTTGTAATTCATCTCGTTGCCTGCAAAAAGAAAAAAACAAAATCGATGATCGTTTATCGTTTAATTTGATATTTCTTTTTACTCGAGGAGAAGACTTACGAGAAATGTAAACGTTCTCGTTCGAAATAGATTCGGACTTTAAGGGTCTGTTTTTACCGTTGCACAACAACGGTGTCCTCTGTCCCTCTAAAATTAAACTCTGGCTATCGTGGAACTTTGGAAAATCCTCCATGTTTCGCTCTCTCTCTCTCTCTCTCTCTCTCTCTCTCTTTTTGTCTCTCTACCTTGGCATTTGCACGCAAGCGAGCGTCGAACGAAAAGACTCGAGCAAACTGAGAATCGAAGACGTACCGAAACTCGACTGAAGAAGGTAAAGACGATGGCAGGGAATAAGAAGAGGAGAAGGAAGAAGATGAAAGAGAAGACGACGAGAGAAAGAGAAAGAAGAGGAACATAATCACTGACCGGTTCTATCGAGAAATTATGCTTCGCCTTCTACTTATTTATCTTGCGCGTCAAGCTCATGCAAATTTCAAGTTGGTACGTATCATGCCTTTTTCTCGCCCTTGCGTGACATTCGCGATCGAAAAGGAAGATGACTACGGACGACCGTACAAAGATTATCTCGCGTGACGCGTCGAGGATGTGCGTTCGACGACGAATGACCGAGACCGAATGGACGAATAATATACGTGTAGCTCAAAGTAACACGTCCATATTATATATTGTACTATGCCTACATATAGAGATATATAAGTATATAAATTCTCTATATAATATTATATATGTATGTTCCGGAACCGGCTTCAAACGTGGCATCGTTCTCTCGCTATCGTATCCTCATTCTTTTTATCGTCGCGCTACGGTGCTCTCACGTGAGATACTTTGGAAACGATTCGTTGACTTTGTATTTACATATATATACATATATATCATACATACATACATGCATACATACATATATATATATATATATATATATGTTCATGTATATACACATCCATCTACATATGTATGAACGTAGACAAACTTTCGAATATCATCTAATGGATAAAATTTTCCGATTGCCTATTTTTTACTGCAAACAACATCTCTCGTTCTCTCTATTATATTGTACGATCATTAATTCACGCATTTGCGTTTGTCTCGCTCTATACAAACAAAATTATAAATATATTACCACTACTTCTATCATCGAGCGTTACGAAATCAATATAATGATGGAAAGAGAGAGAGAGAGAGAGAGAGAGAGAGAGAGAGAGAGAGAGAGAGAGAGAGAGAGAGAGAAAGGGAAAGAGAAGGAGAGAGAGAGACTTAATACGCTCCTCTAATCATTTCGCGATTTCACCCGGCAACATCGAGAGACGCGAAGCAATATGATAATGTATACAATATCAATAAATATGCAACTGCGTTTATAGCTTCTTTATATTTCACGAGCCGATAATAGGCTCGTTACATGCGTTAGCCGAACGACCGATTTAAAGTTTTACGCTTGCTCGAGCACGTCGATATATATGTACATATATACCTGCTCGTTTACTCTCTACCTACTTCAACTCTACCTAACGCGGTATAGGAATTATAAAAAGGTAATAAAAAGAAAAAGAGAGAAAGAGAGAGAGAGAGAGAGAGAGAGAGAAAAGAAGAATGTTACAAGTTAGAATAAAAATTGAAAAGTCAGGAGTAGAGAAGGTCGGTTACCTGTATCGCCCAAGAAGTCAGTGATTAGCAATGCCTCGTCGTCTAAAGCGGTGACGAGACTGTCTGTACAGGTGTTGGTGTTCTCGATGCTAATCTTGATGCTGTCATCTTTGTTGAGTCTCGGATGATTGTTCGCGGCGGGGTTGTTACCGGCGTGGCAGTTGTTGTTGTTATTGTGGTTGTTGTTGTTGTTATTGTTATTGTTATTGTTGTTGTTGTTGTTGTTGTTGTTGTTGTTGTTGTTGTTATTGGCGGTCTGCTGCTGACCGAGGTGGTGATGAGGCGAACGTACGGATTCTGTGCTACTGGTGTGTAAACTGATCCCGGTGGTAGCTCTTCCATTTACCAATCGTAGACTCGGTGCACGTCGGCCGCCGACACTGCCTCCGCCGCCACCTCCTCCGCCACCACCACCACCGCCTCCTCCTCCTCCTCCTCCTCCGCCACCACCAACACCACCACCACCACCACCACCGGTAGTGCTACTCACGGAACGGCCACCGACTCCACCGCCACCGCCACCTCCACCACCACCTTCGCCCTCCCTGAAACGCATAATCGTTGTATAAATAATTATTCGATAAAGAAAATATTTGTAATATTAGTCGCGAATAACGATTAGCGCGGCCAGCACGTGGCTCCAACTGATATATTCGACGATCTTATCGCTAATGATATTTCTAACTGAGCAGTGAAACATTTGTTTTCTTTTCCTTTTTTTTTCCTTTCTTTTTTCTTGTTTTTTGTTTTCCAAATAGATAGACAAATAGATAGATAGATGTGCGCGTTCATTAAGTCGACACCACCCAATATAATTATAATATTTTTACAACTAACTTGTGTTCCTTTTTTTAAAAATATATGTGTACGCTTCAATACTATTTACGCTTTCTACACGACCTACGCATTTGCATAATGATGGATGATGCATTCGAATGAATAGGAACACGTTATATGTTTCTTTATATTTGTTCGGCGCGAACGAGAGACGTTTTTGATAGAAAAAGAAAAAAGAAAAGAAGAAAGAAACGAGGAAACGTAAAGGAGAAGAAGGAGGAGGTGGAATAAAAAAGAGAAGAATAAAAAAGGGAAGAAAAAAAGAAAGCAAAGGGAGCGGCGTCAAAAGAGGTGGCGTCTTCGGAGCGCTCTGCCACTTCGTGACGTGCGGGGGGAGGAAGAAAAAAGTCGCGTGAGAGTAGGACACCAACACACAGGTATACGTGATGCAAGCACGTGCATGAAGAGGCGACAGGATAATATTCATTTAAGTGCCCAACCGATAATATCTATAGTTAGAACGTGTGTCATCGCGAAAATAAGGGCTTGATCGACTGTTCGTTCGTTTCTTCGAAAGGCTTCAAATTGACTATCGAAGGTCTCTATCTCTCTCTCTCCCTCTCCCTCTCTCTCTCTCTCTCTCTCTCTCTCACGAGGAGCAAACGCATTTCTCCTTCGGCTATCTTCGTGATGTGCCGCTAAACGTTTACGTATACATTACGTAGGAAAAGCTTGTAAGATCGATGCAAAAGATACCAACGCACATACATACGTTTGCATTTATCTATGTACGTATACATGAACGTATGTATGTATGCAGATATATATCTATCTACAACTGGAGCCGCACACATCGACGATTGTATATAAATTTAAAGTGTGTGTCCAAAACGTATGTACAACGAATAACCTCTAGCCGGTACTAGAATCTATTTTAAGAAGAAGCTTCCCCACCGGGTGACGCGCTCGTCCAGAGGCAGAAAGCATCCGCGAGTCTTTCTCGTCGAGTGGCTTAGGCCCTCGAAAAACGACGAGCGAGCTAGGAAAAAAAGGGAAAAGAAAAAAAAAAAAAAAGAAAAAGAAAAAAAAACAAATAAAAAAACAAGAAAGGTGTCAAGGTTCACTTTCGATTGCTAACTTTTCAATTTATCGAAGAAGAGAATGGTCCACGAGTAGGTTCGACTGGTCCGTCGGCTTTTACCGAGGTCGTTCGAGGTAGAGTGCAAGGGCGGAGAAGAATAAGGCGGGGCTGCGGAATTCGAGAGCGCAGGGTCGCCAAAGGGATCAAAAGAGACAAAGAGAGAGAGAGAGAGAGAGAGAGAAAGAGAAAGAGTTCGACAAGCTGATCTCTCTGCCCGATCGTAACAATGCTTCTTCTTCAAGATCGTTTAATCATACAGGAAATTAAGAGAAAAACAAAAAGAAAGAAAGAAAAGTAAAAAGAAGGAAAAGAAATAAAAGTACATTGCCTATTAAAATTTTATTTTTAACGCGAATGTGATTACATTTACGGAATATCGGACAACAGAAGTTATCTTTCGACCGATAAACTTTTTATTTGTGTCCTTTCTCCCTTTTCCCTCTACCCCCGGAATAATAAAACTCGCATTTAAAGTTGCTCTATCTTTTTTCATTCCCGAAATTGCTCTCTCTTTCTATCTCTCCATCTCTCCATCCATCCATTCATTCATCTATCTATCTATCTATCTATCTATCTTTCTGCTCGCGTAAAGCTTTAATCGACGCGACAAATCTCTAGGTCGTTGATAACCCTCTGTCGCAAGGCAGATTCTATAACTCTTACGTATCGTCACTTTTCATTTTCAAAGGGAACAAGAAACGAGCGTACATTTCGAAAGGATGACATAGCGTTAAAGGATTAAATCAGTCCTCGCGTGTCAATCCAGCTTAAAAAACGAGAGACACGAAACTTTCGCTAAACGCAATTGGTATAAAAGTTAGAGAGAGAGAGAGAGAGAGAGAGAGAGAGAGAAAGAGATTGATCCTAATCGATTCATCAACGATACGAGGAAAGATTTATATCGACGAATATGGCAAGATCGATTAGCGCGACGAATGAGGAGATAAACAACGAGGCCTTATCCATCGATTTATCCTCTTTGACGAATTTCTAATAATTGTATCGATTACGTCATTCACTCGCTTCTTAAACTATCGCTTACAAATATGATCTTCGCGCGTCTCATAGTGATGTAATTAATCCACTTAATGAATATTTCATAAACTGGCGTAAAAATTTTTATGAAACACGATATCACGCCTGTTCTTTGCAAACGAAAGACAATAGGTACGTAAGAGTAATGCGAATTTATAAAAAAAAAAAAAAAAAAAAAAAAAAAAAAAGAGAGAAATAGAGAGAAACCACTTTTAAAAGGGGAATTTTAAATGTCGAAGAAAAAAAAAAAGAAAGACTTGACAGGAAAAAACGACACAGAATTTGAATTCGCGTTAATATGCTCGACGACTTATTAATTGAATAACATTGTAAATAACTGTCGACTCCGAGGAACAATAAATTGTAGCTTACGGACGGATAATCACGCGAGTCGACGAAGCATTTAATCTCTCGTTACGTTTACATCGATGACGCAGCTATTTGTTTTCCATCAGGTATAAAATAATAACTGCAGTCTTTGTCGCGTTACCAATGTGAACGAGTATATCATTTGCTAATTGATTAACTATGATTCTAAAATCAATACCAGGTAAAAATCTTTAGAAACGAATATAAGAAAAAAATGGTTAAAGGAAGGATGTTTCGTGCAAGTTTATGAAAAGTATCAATTTAAAATCTCATTAACGCGAAATATCTTGAGGAGATTAAGGAGATTGAGAAGTAGTATTCTACAAATGAAAGAGAGAAAAATTGTCAGAAGGATAAAATAAAACAATGTTGTATTAACCGACGATAAAGAATAAAAATGTGTGAATCGCATCGACGAGCGGCTTATTGAAATGCAGCAATTCGTTTAAATTAGCTACGGTTCGGTGGCTCGCATGGGACGACTACGTTTCTCTCTCTCTCTCTCTCTCTCTCTCTCTCGTTCGACGTCAAATTGGACCGAACGTCGATCGATTAACGTCGTCTTCGTCGATAAACGTTAATCATCGTCGATCCGTCGACGTGCGTCTCGGAAAGGCGTCAACTCTTCGAGAAGAAATAGAAAAGCTAATAGCGTTCCCATTGTTTCCTTTTCATATATACGAAGCAACAAAGATTCGATTTGTTCTTTAGTTTCACTTTATTGCATACGGCCACAACGATATTCATTAACTATGCGTGAAATCGCACGTTTTAATCTACAACAAAGAAACAGATTCGACGAAACGGATTAAAAGAAAAATGATGCGATGGAAATTTGCATTGTTTTTCAAGATCCGACTTGCCTTTTTCTTGAGTTCTTGCGAAATTACGTATGCAGTTTTGGATACGCGTAGGTCTCGTAATTACACATATGAGCAAAAGTACGAGATCGTGCGTTTCGAGTTCTTCCGGCCGAGTATCGTGAATTTTAATTGACACCGTTTGTCGAGAGACTCCAATAAAAAGCAACTAACTCAACGCGTACGCGCGCGCGTGCGTCTTTACGCTCTTTTCTTAAATTCGTCGATTAAATACTCGCCGACGACGACAACGACGACGACGACGACGACGACGACGACGACGACGACGACGACGACAACGCAGACGAGCAAAATTCTTCGTATCTGCGTTTAACCTTCGAGAAGAATGATGGCCATTCGACGAAAGCCGCCATTTATTTTTACTTCCATTTCTATTCATATATCATCGCGGAACTATTTCGAACTCATTCTCATTCTATAAGAGTACTTTTTCTCTACTTTCGACCCTGACTGTAAGAAATGATATTCTCTCTCTCTCTCTCTCTCTCTCTCTCCTCCATCCATATAGGTAAGTATATGTATACGTGCCGTGTACACACCTTTAGGTACGTGCTGATGGTACCTGAGCACGCGGAATACGTGTTTGTTCCAATGTCAGCACGTCAATTAAAAATGAACGCCTCCTTAGAGCGTAGCCTTATTAAATCCGTCCCACTCTTTTTCCCCTCTTTCTTTTTCTCCGTTTACATTTCTCCCTTAACATCGCTTTCCTACCACCAAATACACATTTCAACGTTTCATTATTATTTTCTTATTACGTAATCGGGTCTTTTTCTTTTTGTTTTTGTTCTTTTTTCTCTTTTCCTTACTTATAACAACCGATAACACGGTTTCATGACCGACACAACTTTTAAATCCCGTCATTCTTGAGTTCCACGTTTTTGATATAAACTGGCTCGTTAACGAAAACTAACGAGAGAACAATGTGCTTGAAACAAGCAGAGAGGAAGAGAGAGAGAGAGAGAGAGAGAGAAGGAAGAGAATACCGGTTGTAGTTCCGTCTTCTAACTTTTATCTTATCGTCTTTTGTATCCGTGCAATGCCACTTGCATCGCCGTTATAGAAGCGTACCGCGCCGTCTTCACGATCAATATTTAATTTAAGATTTGAATTAGCTTTCAGAAAATATTTGCTCTACTTTCGGACTTTGAAAAGGCATTGGATCGTTAAAGAAATTTCGTTTAGACAAGGGCAAAACGAAAAGTACGAATAGTAAAAATAAGATTAGATAATCATCGAAAATATACCAAATTTGTTATATGACGTTGGGCATTCCATCAATTGCACGTCGTATACTTTTGGAAATATGAACAATCACCCGTAATTTTTTTTCATTTATGAT